ACCGGGAATTTTTTAAAAAAAAAAAAAAAAAAAAAAAAAAATACAGTAAAAACTGAAAATGAAGGGCCTTACTTGTGAGTCAGTAGATTTTTGAACTATATTTTTTTCCAGCATTAAAAAGAAAATCACCCCAATTTGTTTTACCATTATAAAAATAATTATGTTTTTTCAAGTAATAGCTCAGATGCTGTAGAATCCTATTGTAAGCTCTAGTGTTTTGGACCAGAAGACTGGCACCTCTAAAATCTGTAAAGGGCATGTTGCCCCTGTGCGAGTTAGCTACTGAGAACCTTAAGATGCTGTGTTTTCTGAGGTTATAGTGATGGACCAAACTCCAAACTATGGATCTGAACACCTTTGAACTTTGGGGGAAAAAATGGGTCAAGATCCTGTCTTTGTCACTTGCACTCATTTCTAGCTTTCATGCATTTTTTTGTTCCATATGGTGAACCTACCTGCAAAGCTGGCCTCTTTATGGTGTCAAGTAATAGCCCAGCTCTTGTAGCCACTGCTGGGTTGACATCCTCCATGGCAGTCAAAAAACAGCAGAATGCATGAGCCAAAGAATATTTCAGCAGGTGATTTTTGGTCACTGAGTGAATGTCCAGAAACCTGCACAAAACAGCCACTTTCTCTACTGCAGCAGACAAGCCCCCAAACAAAGAGAATATTCACATTAATTCAAGCAGTGACCTTTTCCCTTATGTTTTGAACAATATACACAGGCCTGTATCTCATAGAAAACAACAAAGAATAATCAAAACATCAGCTTGTTTCCACTTTCAGCTTTGTGCGACAAGTGCACATTTTTCTCATGACCCCAATTACTTACAAGTTACCCAGATTCTCCCCTACACTACAGCCACTTCGTGTCATACCCTTGGTGCAAAGTAGCCCCAACGCCAGCACAACCAGCCAAGGAGGATCATTCCAGTGCAGGAGGATCTTTTGGAGGCACAGAGCCAGCACAGCTGCTTCTACACCAGCCAACCTGCCTACAGCTGGCAGGGCTACAGGAAGGAGCTTCTAAATTCACAGATTCATAGATTTTTAAGGCCACAAGGGACTATTATGATCATCTAACCTGACTTTCCGTATAATACAGGCCAAAAAATTTCACCCAGTTCTCTGCATCCTTGCAATTGCAAGCAGCTATAATGGCCCTTTGGGGGCACTGGCAGACAGCAGAACTTAGAGCAGCTTTTAGATTGACTGTCCTGGTGCACCGCTGGCCAAAGACCTCTTTACACCCCACCCCTTTTCCCAAGCTGTATTGTGCACTCCTTGTCTGCAGCCAAGGATGTGGGCCAGTAATTCCAAAATAAAATCCAGTGGGCTTGAGTCTCTTCTCCCTTACACCAATGTAAATTAAAAATAACTCCACTAAAGTCAATAGATTGACATCAGTGTAACACCAGCGTAAGAAAGGAAAATAAGGCTGATTGATTGTAATAGTTGCTTCTTTCTTTTCATTCCCCTATTTCAAACATCAGGATCACTTTGATTTGAAGGAATTCCTCTTTTAAGGAGCAGACGGGAACAGCCACTGCTTCTTGGCATTAAACCCGAACTAGCATCATGGGCCTTGATTGACCAGCACAGAGAATATCAATCCAATGGACGGTAATCTAGATCTGTTTTTTCTGATAACAGAAGGGTAAAACTATGCATGGAGATTACTAGAGAATTTTATCATGCTACAAACATACACCAATACCAGAGAGCTAAGTTAAATACCCTTTAAAAGGCAATACAAGGGGGTACTCAGTGAGTAATGCTCCATTACTGGAGATATTTAAATTAGGCTAGCCAAAGCACAAGGAAATGGACCATAAGGAACAATCCTGCATTAGCAAGAGGTAGATGGACTATGTGTGGAGGACCTAGTGGGTCTTTTCTATCAGTGTGGTGTATGATTTCATTAAACCAACCACCAGAGCAGCCAATGAAGACAATGAATTTAAAAAACACTTATGGGTAACAGATGGAAAGAAACTGTAGAAAAATAGCCTCTCTACCTTAAACAGCCAATGCCAACTACAATATCTACAACTGATAAAACCCCTTCCTCCCTGCCATAGCAACCCGCATGCAAATATCGTACACTTCTCAGACCTACCTGCTTCAAACCTCATCTTCCAATCTTTGCTGTTAAAATTGCTGTTTATGATTGTCCAGAAAATATCAGCTCCATGAGGAAGCGACAGAGCATGTAGAAGGAGTGGAACAGCCAATGAAGAAAGCTGAGAGAAATCAGACTTCACTACTCTCCATAAACTAGAAGGACCAACAAAAGCAAATCTGATCACAGAATCTGTCTTTTACTCACAGAACGTCCTTCATACTAAATGTCTACATTATGTTACTGGGGGGAATTTGCTTCATAAGAAAAGGGGTACATTTGTGAGTTACACCCAGCACTCATGTTAGCAATTCAATGTTGCTGTATGTGGAACTCCCATATACTCCTGCATCTATATTCATTTTAAATGAATTTTGTTGGGGGAGGTTCTAGCAGTTTTTGGAAACTGTCTGTCAAAGACATTCACCAGCATAAATGAGACAGAAATGTATTACTCCACATGAAAAACCATACATCTAACTCATTGTAAAACAATTGGTGTGTGGAATGTAGGAACTGCTAGGCCTGATCAGATCAAAGAAGATCTCATCTGGTGTCCTCTCTCCAACAGTGATGCTTTTGCACCTTCTTACAGTTGGTTACTCCCCTTTGGTTTTACACTAGCCAGGGCCGGCTCCAGGCACCAGCCCTCCAAGTATGTGCTTGGGGCGGCACCTGGAGGGGGGCGGCGCTCACCCGGGGAGAGCGGGGCCGCGGCCGGGCTCGCCGCCCTCCTCCCGGCACTCCGGTGAGAGCCAGGCCCCGGCCAGGCTCTCCGCCCTCCCCACGGCGCTCCGGCCAGTCGGGGAGAGTGGGGCCCCTGCCGGGCTCTCCGCCCTCCCCCCGGCGCTCCAGCCGGTTGGGGAGAGCGGGGCCGCGGACAGGCTCGGTGTCCTCCCCTGCCGCGCTCCCTGCCGGGGGGGCGGCGACAGGCTTTTTTGCCTGGGGCGGCAAAAAAGCCAGAGCCAGCCCTGACATTAGCCAAACAACATATTTCTCAGCTAATATTAAGAGGTGGCAGGGAATTTTCCAACAATTTTTTTTTCTGATAGAAAGTGTTGGTCCTGCAAAATCTAAGTTGTCCTTGGTAAAACTTTAATTTTACCAGAATGTTTTTGATTTTTTATTGGGAAAAGCTAAATGAAATATTTCATTTCTGATTGGGTGTTCCTGAATCAAAACTTTTTGGTTTTTTGAACGGAATTAAACATTTTGTTTCAGGTCAGTTCAACATTAATCTGTATCCACCTGGGCAGCTGCAGTGCCTCATGGAAGCTATAGTTCAAGTGCTTCATGCCCCCTTTCTCCCCTATGGGCTTGGCTCCCCAGCCAGACTTTCTCTTCCATGGTGCACCTCACTCTCCCTTCTAGATATTCCCTTTATGGTGCATCACAGGAAATGTAGTCTGTGACGGGAGCCTGGTCCGTAGAAGAGAATGGGGAGGATGACGCACCCAAATTACAACCCCTCTGAGGCACTGCAGCAACCCAGGCAGACACAGTTCAGTGTCGAACTGAACCTAAACATTTCAACATTTAATTCCGTTAAAAAAATATTCAGTATTTCAATTTTTCATCCAGATTTGGAACATAAGAACAGCCACATTGGGTCAGACCAATGGTCCATCTAACCCAGTATCCTATCTGCAGACAGTGGCCAATGCCAGATGCTTCAGAGGGAATGAACAGAACAGGGTAATTAGCGAGTGATCCATCCCCTGTCATCTTGTCCCAGCTTCTGGCAGTCAGAGGTTTAGGGACACCCAAGCATCCCTGACCATCCTGGCTAACAGGCATTGATAGACCTAGCCTCCGTGATCTTATCTAATTCTTTTTTTTTAACCCAGTTATACTTTTTAGCCTTCACAACATTCCCTGGCAACAAGTTCCACGGGGTGACTGTGCGTAGTGTAAAGAAGTACTTCCGTATCTCCGTTTTAAACCTGCTGCCTATTAATTTAATTGGGTGACCCCTGGTTCCTGTGTTACGTGCAGGGGTAAATAATACTTCCTTATTCACTTTCTCCATACCATTTATGATTTTATAGACCTCTTATCATATTTCCTCTTAGTCATCTATTTTTCTAAGCTGAACAGTCCCAGTCTTTTTCATCTCTCCTAATATGGAATGCGTTCCATACCCTTAATCATTTTTGTTGCCCTTCTCTGTTTCTTTTCCATTTCTAATATATTTTTTTGAGATGGGGTAACCAGAATTGCATGCAGTATTCAAGGAGTGGGCGTACCATGGATTTATAGAGTGACATTATGATATTTTCTGTCTTATTATCAATCCCTTTCCTAATGGTTCCTAACATTCTATTAGCTTTATTGACTGCAACTGCATACTGAGCAGATGTTTCCAGAAAACTATCCATGATCTCTTTCTTGAGTGGTTACAGCTAAATTAGACTGCATCACTTTGCATGTACAGATAAAAACAAAATGTTAAAATACCAGAATTTCCTGATTTTCTATCTGCTCTAGTTAATGTTTAATACAAACACTGCCATATGCACTTTTGAGAACAGAGATATTGTGTAACCCTTCTTACTATTATCATTAATTATACTGAACCACAGGTGCACGTGGTGCCTTACAGACAAATAAAAAAATCCAGGAAAGCTCTGAAGATTTAACAATCTAACCTGCAAGTCCTTACTCACACAAGTTGTCCCACCAAAGCTGATTGAATTGCTTATGCTAGTAAGAAGCACATGATTGGGCCCCAGAGCAATAAGACTTGACATAAGGAGAGACAATAATGGACAAAAGGAAAGGGAGGAAAGAAAGGAATGAGATTTACACAATGTCAGTTTCTTAGTAAATGATATGACAAGTCTGTTGTTCATATGGCCAAACTCCTTGCAAATAAATTACTGCAAGCATTCATCCCATAGCACTCAAAACAAAACTTATTAAGATTTAAAAATAAAATTCACATGCTGTACATAGTTCTGATCTGCTTTTCCTTGAACTGTTTTTTTATTTCCACAAATCAGTTTCATTGACAATATATGAGCATTCCTGGAACCATTATTGCAAATTTGCACTGCAATCAGGGAGGCTAGTGGTCTAGCAAAGGGAGCACTGGACTGGGAGTTAGGATACATGGATTCTGTTCTCAGCTCTGGGACTGACCTGCTGTGTGACCTTGGACAAGTTACTTCACTTTTCGGTGCCTTTGTTTCCCTTCCCAGCCTTTGTCTATCTTGTCTATTTAAACTGTAAGATCTTTGAAGTAGCAACTGCTTCTCACTGTGTGTTTGTACAATGCCTAGCACAATGGACCTCTGATCCTGGTTGGAATTTAGAAGCACTAACTGTAATATAAATAAAAATGACAATTCCTGGGTTAAAAAACATACCTTGCAATCAGCATCTGATCTTGAATGTAAGCCAAGAATTGTGGATGGTCCTTTCTTGCAATGTACAAACATTCCCCATGAAGACAGAGAATCTTCAAACAGTTCAGCATGTTAAAAAGAATGTCTGGCTCTTCAAATCTAGCCATTTCCTGTGCAAGCAATTCATGTAATTAATGCCACTCTCAACACAGGGATGTCATTAAATCAAATATATAAAACTTAAAAAGTAATCAGCTGTACCTGCAATACAGTGTATATGAGCTTCAAGGTAACTGGAAGTTGCTGGTAACAGAATTTTCTTTCGGTGTCATTTTTTATTGATGCTAAAATCAAGTGACATTAGAGTCATTAATACAGGGGTCGGCAACCTTTCAGAAGTGGTGTGCCAAGTCTTCATTTATTCACTCTAATTTAAGGTTTCACGTGCCAGTAATACATTTTAACGTTTTTAGACGGTCTCTTTCTATAAATCTATAATATATAACTAAACTATTGTTGTATGTAAAGTAAATAAGGTTTTTAAAATGTTTAAGAAGCTTCATTTAAAATTAAATTACAATGCAAAGCCCCCTGGACCGGTGGCCAGGACCCAGGCAGTGTGAGTGCCACTGAAAATCAGCTCGCGTTGCCGCCTTCGGCACACGTGCCATACGTTGCCTACCCCTGCATTAATATATCATCTCTTTCGCTGGTTGGGAATGTAACTAGAAAATAAACCAAGGGAAGGTGAGATTGCTACAAAAGGCTAATGCATGCCAGCTATAGCTCTACTGCAGTCAGTAGAATTATATTAGGAATTAATTTGACCCAAAACATTTTTCTGTGAGATCAAAGGAATGGGTTTTTTAATGATTTTTTTTCTTGGTCCAACAATTTTGCTATATATGTGTATAAATGGAACGCAACTTTCCCATAGAATGAACACATTTTAAAAGTATTAAATGCATGAAAAACTATCAATTCTGTAATGGACTTGCAAGACTACTTCAAATCTTTGTATTTTTTTAAGGAATAAAGCCAAACCAATGCTTCATTTAACACCTAGTTCAACTGTCCCCCTAACTTACCAGCATTTTCTGTTGTCTCTCTATGATTTCCTGGGTTTTCTCCATGTTTTGTTGCAGATTTATTTTCCTCTTCCCCTTCAGTTCCTATAATAAACTCGGGTCTAGTATACAGAAGACTATCCTCAAGGTTGTCTGTGGGCTCCTATAAGAACACAATAATGATTATACCTAGCTCTTATTAAGCACTTCTCATCAGTAGACCTCAAAGCAGTTTACAAAGGAGGATAGTATCATCATCTTCATTTTACAGATGGGGAAACTGAGGAATTCAATTCATTTCTTGATGTACAGCCTTCAATACACTAGGCCAAATCCTAATCTTTAAATTAAATCCTGCATTCATAAAGGGGTCTCAAACTGAGCATGAATGGACTGTACGCATGTACATTTGGGTGTGGTAATGTCAGCATTCTCAAACCTGGGCATTTAAGTGAGTCTCATAAAAAGTAACAAAGGATCTTTAATGATCACAAGTGGCCAGGAACTTTGGTTAAGATATTCAAAAATGACTAGTGATGTGGGGTGCCCAAACTGAAACAGCTTTGAGGGACCTGACTTTCTAAAAATCAGGCCCCTTTAAGGAACATCAAGTCGGACACTTGAAAACTGAATCTCCCAAAATCACTAGTCACTTGAAAATCTTGGCCCTTGGTTTTAATTAGTTATATAAACAACTTTGAAGATGAAAAGCACTAAGCAGCGTCTTTTTTAATCTGAAAGACATCACCTCCAACAACAGAGCCCTGCCACCACTAGTTCAAAGCTGATATAGAAGGAAGAGTGCCACCCATTGTATCAATATCATTGCTAGCGAATGCGCCTTGAAGGTTTCCCATCCAAGCTTATCAGATCTGACAAGTCAATGGGAATTTTGCTCTAGAATTCCTCTATGCACAAGATCAATGCAGTTCACTTCCTTATGTCAGGCTAATTAAAACAGGAGTTTTGGGGAACTCTCATAATTTGTCATTTCATTACATAAGCTATTTGTTTCACTACTTACCACCAGCCTGATTTCTTCTTTTGGAGCTAGTCGCTCCAGCAGCTCACAAGCCAGCTGGTAACAGAGAATGCTAGACTGGCACAGGTTACATTCTACTACTTTTTCATCTTTCTGACAGGTGTGAGAGCCACCCCAAGGGGCCTGAAACACATTGTTTATGATGGAAATTATGTCCTTCGAGAGACTGTTCTCCAAACCCAAGGTGATGCCATCATCTTGGAGTTCCATCTGAAAGTCAGTGATAGAATGGTAAGGAATTAACTATTTGATTAGGAAGAGCACTGATCATTATTCTGCTTAGTCTCACATTACTGCCAGTATTAAATTAACTAGACAGAGAAGAGTATGACATGTAGTGTGGCTCACAGTTTCAAAAGTGGCCACTGATTTTGGGTGCCCAACTTTAGACACCTAAGGTGGGATTTTCATAGCCACATAGGGGATTTGCATGTCCAATTCCCATTAACTTTAATATGAGATGGGTATCTAAATCACTTAGACCACTTTGTAAATCTGAGCCCTAGCACCATCATTGGGTCCAGCAGAGATGTGGCTGGTGCAGGACTTGAGGGGAGAGACAAAGATGGCTTTACACTAACTTTGTGCTTTCCCCTGATCCCTGAGTCTGTGAGGTCCAGTTTGGCTCTCAGCACAAGTTAGACCAACCATCTGGGCTCCTTTCATTTATCCCAATTGGTAACAGCCCCAAGGGGCCATTACTCCAGCTGAGGATCATCAGAGCACAGCAGTGCTCTGGCCACATCCTCTTTCCTGCCTACACTCTTGCCATGCCACCTAAATCAGGGGCTGTGACAGCAGATTGTATAGAGCTACCTATGATAACTCTATGTGACCCTGGGACTCCTCCAACCAGGAGCATCCTAATCTGTCCACTCAAGGCAACTTTATGTCCTCTCTGAATCACTAGAGTAGTACAAAGGGACTTCAGCCGAGGCTGGGATCTGAAATCTGAGCCTGATTTTTAGAGCTGCTGATCACCTACAAATCAGAGGCACTGCAAATCAAAGGCCATTTCTGGATATTTGGACCTATATCTAGAGAGCACTACACTGGGATATGCCATTTTCAGCTAATCATCCTGATTAAGTAGCTGTTCTGAAACTGAAAGGAGGCCATTTAAAAAAAAAGTTGGAAAAGACTTAAATGAAATAAAACACTACATGGAATAAAAAAGACAAGAATGAGAAAGACATTGACTGTACTTTATCTTTATTGCTGCTCCTAATCTTCATTTGGTAAATTCTATATTAAAAGGTCAGAGCTCAGAATTTCACACCAATTTAACACTTGGTTAAGTACCAGTGAATTCCTTAACACTGGATGACGACATCCCCATTAAGGAGGTGTCCTCACTAGGAAAAGAAATGTATTCCTAACCAAAATGAGGTAAAACCCTAGCTGAAAACAAGGCAGTTTGTAGTTTTCACAAGAGTTAGCAGTGAGGCTCCCCCAGTCTTTAACTCGACTTGCTAACTCATGTGAAAACAACAAACTGCCGTCACTAGGATTTTACCTCATGTTAGATAACCCAAATTAAACACACAGCTTTTTTCCTAGGCTATGTCTACACTAGCACTTTTGTCAGTATAACTTACATTGCTCAGGGGTATGAAAAAATACCCCGAGTTACACAGACAGAAGCACCGGTGTGGACAGTGCTATGTTGGCAGGAGACACTCTCCTGCTGACTTGGCCACCGCCACTCGTTAGGGGTGGTTTAATTATGTCAACGGGAGAGATCTCTCCTGTCGGCATAGAGCAGCTACATGGGAAATCTTACAGCAGCGCCACTGCCTTGGTACAGCTGTGCCACTGTAAGGTGTCTAGTGTAGACATGGCTCTAGTGAAGATACACCTTATGGGGTTTTTAACATATACATTTGCAATTAGTGCAGCCACTTAAATAAAAATTAATTCGCTAAATTAGTGCAAAACTGTGTGTGCGCACAGTTATTTTAATTGAAAAGTGGTTTATTTTGGTTTTGTTTATCTCTATTCTTAAGGACTTGTCTCCCTAGAGAAATGTCTACACTTAAAAGCACTGCAGATGCCCTGCTGTAGCACTTCAGTGTAAACCCTCACTACAGCAATGGGATGGGTTCTCCTGTTGCTATAATCCATCCTCCTCCCCAAGAGGCAGAAGCTAGGTCAAAGGAAGATTTCTTCCATCAGCCTAGCGCTGTCTACACTGGAGGTTAGGTCAACATAACTACGTCACTTAGGGATGTGGTTTTTTCACACCCCTGAGCAACTTAGCTGGGTCAACCTAACTTTTTAGTGTAGACCTGGTCTTAAATCAGTTTATAAGGTGACTTAATAAAATCAATACAAACCTCTATGTGAACACTTTTATTCTGGTTTAAGTGTGGCTTATTTTGATTCAGCCTAATCAATTCAACAACTTGTCCACAAGGAGTTTCCATCAGTTTAACTAAAGCAATTTAAAATTATACCTTAAATTAAACCTGTGCAACTTTCTTGTACAGAAAAGTGCTGATATAGTATTGTATTGAGAACTATATTTCTGCATCAGTTTAACATAGACATTCTTTATCTGCTGGCACCTGCTTCAGGATGAGATCAAACATCAGTATGAAGCAATTCAGATTCATTTCATCTTCATCACAGTCAAAGTCTATAGTCCTCCCTCCAGGATGTCCAAAGTTCTTGAATGGGCTGCGGAAAGGACTGCGCATGGGGCTGCGAAATGGGCTCTGGAAAGGACTTGGGAAAGGACTCAGCATATTGTGCTGAACCCTGCGTCCAGGGTCAGAGGCAACACTCACCTGAAGAAACAAAAAATGGATACACATAAGTCAACTTTAAACACTTGGGCATTGGCTAGTATGATATTAAAGGAAATGAGGGAAACTGCTTTACTGTTCCCTGTTAGGGCTGTTTCTTGTACATTTTCAACTGGTTCTTAATGCCACTAAACGTTAAAATATATTATAAATACAATGGGCCAAATTCTGCACTGATATACATGTTGGTGTATGCAAGACAGCTGAGGTCAAATTAATGCTTGGTGTAACTCTACCCATTTCAGTAAAGTTACATCAGAGGGGAATTTGGCCTTCTAGTGTAAACCGGCCAGAAAATGAATACAGGTGATAAAGCAGCCAAGTTACACTGATCTGACATTTTAGGATAGGCAAAAGGAATCGAACCCCACAAATGCTCTGAAAGCGGGGTAGTGGCTGATGAAAAAAAGAGGGTGTATTAAGAAAATAGTGTCAACTAAGGCGATCCCTAGATGTGTCAGATAGCTGAAAAGCAACTAGCAAAAGAACATAAAATAAAGCAACACCAACACAGGAAACTTACACCCACACCATGATAGGCACCCCACATCACTCCCAGTAACACACACAAAATCCCACAGTGGTGCAGGGAAGTCTGCTGTCAAACCGCACATTTATCTACTTTTAGGCCAACTATTGTCTGAAATACAGTATAGTCAAACTATGTGTTTCTTCTGTACAGTATTCTACAGTGGTCCTGGACTAACTGTGTTCTCCTCCATGAGTCTGCTGTCTGCAGTGCCAATGCTACAACAGATGAGGATCCCGCTACAACCCAGGGATTCTTCAGTTGCCCATTTTGGGCAGCTTTTAGCCCCTTTGCACCATTAGTGGAGCTGAGGATCTGACCTTCTGAGTTTAAGCTGCCTGACTGTCACATGCGCTGTGTGTGGTGTCATTTAGCAGTATTCCTGTTTGCCTCTATGAGTCAGGCTCCTAGCGTGATAATCACATTGTTCTCTCCTGAATATTCACTATGCCTCTGGGCGCCAACCTATCTTCTTTTGCTCCACAAAATCCAAATTTGGAATTTTAAAGCCTGAACACATTTTAACAAGTGGCTTTAGTTTACATCCATTTCTGCACCTCTACTGCAGAATTTGGCCCAATATAGGTGTGCTAAAAATGTGAAAGAAACATTCCACACCTCACCTGCAGTACCAGCAAACAAACATTCACTGCTTTCATAAACATTGCATGCCAAGTAACTGCAGGATCTTCCATTGTTTTTCTGTAACTCAACTAAAAATAACTGAATAGCGGCAAAAAAGTAAAGATAAGGAAGTGATGTTAAAAGATGAAACATCAGAGGATAAACTCTACAGTTTTGAGCCACAAGGAGCAGAATTCATAAGGCTGATGAAAGCAAAAGGACATGCTTCCATTTATTATTAGACACATGCTTGTGTTTCTGTTACACAGGAAACAATACAGTGTTTTAGAAATGAAGTACTAACAGATTTTCAGAATTTATGCACAGATTTCAATAAATATGTTTGCTTCATTTTTCACATTTTCTCTGTTTAAGACCAGTGAATTCATTTTGGAAGCCAGTGTCAGATAGAGGAATCCATTTCAAATGGAGGAGCTGTTAGAGAAGCATTCAGTCAAATGTCTGATCTATTGCAACTGGTCGCATGAGTTAAATATTGGCCAGTTTGGGTTTGTGCTGCTGCAAACTGGTTCATTTGATTTGTACAGCAGACAGCCTAGAGATTCAGAGTCTACGTTGTCTGCTGACATATTACCAGCAGATAACACTTTAAGGACTAGAGGAGAGAAATTGAGACAGGATTGGATTTTGCAATGACTGAATATGCATCTGCCACCAAAAAGACCCCCTCAAAAAGCCTCTAAGCAGGCTTGCCTATTGGACAAAGTGCAAAAAGTCAAAGGAAGCTGTTTCCTTCTTCTTCCATGAGAGGTAAATATTGGAGAGTGTAGAGGCAGGTTAGGTAAAATACAAGGAAAAATGAAGGGACAAGGAAACTAATTCTGCTCAGTCATCACCACCAGTAAGTGCCTCGGCCATACCAAACATGTGCAACACGAATATGAAAGCTCATCCTAGAGGACCAGATGTCCATCAAAAATTGCTGGTTGATGGTAGTGGACAGAAGACACAGAGAATGAAAATTGTTGGAAAAGTTAACACCACAAAATAAATACTAATGCTTAGCTATTATATAGATGCCATACACCAAGTGAAACAGTTCACTCAGAAAGAGATTTCACAATTACACTCTACCAAATTACAACACATCTACCAAATTATTAATTTATAAATTAAAACTGATCAAATGGGAGGCTGGCATTAACTCAAGCTGTGTTGATTTTTATCACTCTCAACATCTGTACTTTGTTTCCAATCAAGTGCTAGAGTAATTGGCAGGAAGTTTTTAAATCTTCATATGCAAATTAAAAGGGAAACTGTTTTAAGGAGAAAAAGAAAAAACAAAACAAGATGAAAGATAATACCCTTCGAGCTCCAAGATTCCCTGCCAGTTCACTGACTCTTGATTTTCTTTGATTTGCTAACTCTTTGACAGAATTAACTCCATCGGAAAACATACTGATCAGTAGCTGAAGAGGAACCACAATGTCTAACTCAGATAATACCTGAAGAAAGATAAAAATAAAAAAGCATGAGTTTTCAGCTCGGACCAAAAATACTAACTACCTTTATAAATACTTTAACCGTGACCCTACTTCAACAAGATCCATAAACATGTGTCTAACTTCAGCCATGTGAATAGTTTGATTGAAGTCAATGGGACTATTCATGCTTAAAGTTAGACACATGCTTAAGTACCTGGCTGAATCAGAGCCAAGCAAATCTGTCTGAGTACAACAAAGAGCACTTTCCAATATGCTTGTAACTGAAACCTGACAACTCTCTTTGCTGATATTTGAGGCCCCTTTTATTCACAAACTTTCTGATGTGAGGTGTTTTCACAAGATGTTTGTGTGAAGCAAAAATGACACAACTACTAGCATGAATAACTATTCACTAGGTGATACCACTAGTACTATTTATTATTTGTATTGCAGTAGTGCCCCAAGGCTCCAATCAGAATAATTCCTGTGGCCATTCTGAAAAGCTCTTTTCATTATTCCTCAATAGATTCATCAAACAATTTCAAATATTGGTGAACAGACCAGGGGCTCTTCCTTTTCTCAAGGGACCCATCACATGCAGCAAATCATCAAGAGGGAATTCTCACAGTGACCCCTTCATGAACAAACCATAGACAAAACTGAGCTCGTTCAAACTAGTCATCGAACAGTTGTTAATAAGCAAATCTGCAAAAGGCACAATCTGTTGGTGGAAAATTTGCCAACAGACAAAACTATTACAGCCATCAACTAAACTGTTCTCTGCAAATAGGTCACCTAGCATTGGCTGCAAATAACTCTCATCAGGGCAGGAGCAATAACAATGGACATAAGTGATATTCACAAAAGGCCAACTATTGTAAAATGCACATGGCTTTAAGGGGAGCTGCACTCTGCAGGATGAATCTCTGAGGGACAATCATCCAAGTAGCTGCTCAGTATGCAGGGAAAGCATAGACGGTTGTAGTGTAGGGCCGCCCCGGGGTGGGGGTGGGGGGGGGCAAGTGGGGCAATTTGCCCCAGGTCCCGGGCCCCAAAGGGGCCCCGCGAACCCTGGCCGAGAATCCCTTCCCTGTCTAGAGGCGCCTTTTTAATTTTTACTCACCCGGCAGTGGTCCGGGTCTTCAGCGGCGGGCCCTTCAGTCGCTCCACATCTTCGGCGGCGGGTCCTTCAGTGCTGCCGAAGACATGGAGCAAGTGAAGGACCCACCGCCACCGCTGACTCGGAGCGCCGCCCAGTGAGTACAAGCGCCACAGCGGGTGGCACCTTTTTTTATGTCCGCTCCCCCGCTTTGCCCCAGGCCCCCTGAATCCTCTGGGTGGCCTTGGTGTACACCTTCACTCCAGCTGGCCAGCTTCATGGGTTAGTACACAAGAGCAGTGGTGTCAAGGCAACAAGTGGTTTTGATAGACTCCAAAGGGAATCCAATCCAGCTCTTCACAACAAAAGACCCTTAAAAATTGCTTAAGTGTTCCTGAAGTCATTCTGCAGTCTACAAAGCAAATTAGGTGCAGACCCTAGAGTGCAGCTGGGGAAGAGGCAGGGGCACCAGGCCTACCCTCAAGACACAACCTACAGCCAAAGAGAAAACGGGCTTCTAGCCTTCCACCAAAAGGCCAGACCTATCGCCTGAGATGGGAGAGTGACATCTAGCCTCCCTTATAGGCACTGAGCTACCTATCTGCTTGCACTGGGGGGTAAGCGAAGAGGAAAAAGACTTTCTGACCCTTAAAAAAGGTTTGATTCAGAGATGAGTGAAAGTTCAAGATAGCTCTTTTATGTCTGAACCATTTCACCCATTTCTAATTACAACCCCAATAAGCTGCTTCAGCTTGACCTATCCATAATAGTCACTTACATGCAGCCAGAGCAAAGCTTGCTCCTGCACAGAGGAAGGATAGCCCGTGAATCGACAACTAATGAAGCCAAACATCTCCTCCATGGAAAAAGGCAGTGGGCAAAGCTCAATATCAAACATTTTGCTGCAAAGAAGAATAAAGATATATGATCATTGGTTTGCTGTTATGTGCAGTACGTAGTAGACTGTACCTGGACAATTAATAGAATACCAGTCACAACTAAATAATACTAACATCTCACTAGTGTATCACTTGCATGCTCATTTTGCATCACACAGGGAGTGTGTCACCTGCAATTGTCATTCTGACTCCTGGGAGTCATTCCTGAGTTTGGTGGGTCTGTCACGCATCATAACATTTCAAATTAAATTTCAAAGTGTGTTCAGACAGACTATGCAGATGGATTGGAGAGATCAGTGAACAGAAATATTTTCATCTGTTAGTGATGACATTCTCTACCTCCAACAGATAGAAATATTTCTCTCTTTACCTTTCCCGCACCAAAATGCATTTCATGCTGGAGACAGGCCTCAGCCACTGAGGATCGACTGTAAGTTTAAGAGGCATTGTGTAGCTGCACTGTCCCAGAATGCATGAAACAGGGCATTGGGATTCTGAGAGCACACACCCTGGCTTCCCCTTTGCTCCAGAGGGGAAATAATTTGCTAGACCAGTAGCAGACTAATCTGCTTCTGTGCCAGCTCAGCTGTGCCCATTCCCCACCCCTGCAGACCCACTCCAGACCCACCTGTAAGGGAGGAGTAGCACTTCCCTGGAGGCTGCTCTCTCCCCTGTGCCTGAACCCCCTGCACGTGTTGTCCGCTCAGGGCAAAGGTCAATCTAGCCCTACTTTTGGATCCGGATACAGATCCAATGATACTGTGGAACTTTAGATCAAATGTTCCAGTTAAGGTCCAACTTTAATTTATTAATGATGCAGCTGCATCTAGTCACCGTCTCTTATATTGCATATAAACAAAGCCGTTCTGAAAGGCATTTTTATTCAACGTCACCAATTCCTTGTGCTAAAACCCTTGTTAATTAATATACTCACCATTGCTACAGCTCAAGTACCAGTTTACCTACCTTAGTACTTCTCTGAACTCTTTCAGTTGACTATCAGGCACTTCTGTTCTAATGGCTTCCAGCCATTCTGGCATAATACATTCCCACACAGGCTGGTTTATTACATTGTATGGAATCAGGCAGAGGATACGACTCAGACCTTCCTTTAATTGTGTCACAGTGCTACAGGATTTGTCCCAGTATCCACCAACCTGAGGGCATTTCCAGGAATAGTGTTTATTAGCTGCTATTATAATTCTTGCATTTGTTATTTGTATAGCATCAGATATTTGCATGGCACCTTACAGACATTAAATCATGATGATTGATCAATAGTATAGTTCAGTGCATATTTCAGATTCAGCCATGGGGACTGCATATTTTTTTTCATATGATCCAGGGGCAACTGAAGTGCAGCTGAAGATTTAAATGCAGTTCTCCCTGGCCCAATGACTACTTAAGTATTTATCCACAGTAGAGAAAGACTGTAGTCCAGTGGTTAGAGTAGCCAGCTGGAAGGTGGAAGACACCAGGTCAAGTCCACCTGTTTTAGTCACTCTTTCATTATTTATCCAAAGAGGAACAGCTTCAACAGGAATATAAAAACATAAGAATGGCCGTACTGGGTCAGACCAAAGGTCCATCCAGACAGTATCCTGTCTACCGACAGTGACCAATGCCAGGTGCCCCAGAGGGAGTGAACCTAACAGGTAAAGTGATCTTGCTCCTGCCATCCATCTCCACCCTCTGTCAAACAGTGTCTAGGGACACCATTCCTTATCCATCCTGGCTAATAGCCATTAATGGACTTAACCTCCATGAATTTATCTAGTTCTCTTTTAAACTCTGTTATAGTCCTAGGCTTCACAACCTCCTCAGGCAAGGAGTTCCACAGGTTGACTGTGCACTGTGTGAAGAAGAACTTCCTTTTATTTGTGTTAAACCTGCTTCCCATTAATTTCACTTGGTTGCCCCGAGTTCTTATATTATTAGAACAAGTACATAACTTTTCCTTATTCATTTTCTCCACACCACTCATGATTTTATATACCTCTATCATATCCCCCCTTAGTCTCCTCTTTTCCAAGCTGAAGAGTCCTAGCCTCTTTAATCTCTCCTCATATGGGACCCGTTCCAAATCCCTAATCATTTTAGTTCCCCTTCTCTGAACCTTTTCTAATGCCAGTATATCTTTTTTGAGATATACAGGAGAGAGTGAGGGAGCCCCATATCAGAATATCCCTTAGCTCAGTGGATAGAGCCCTCTTCTGGGTAGTGGGAAACCCCACTTCAAATCCCTTCTCCCCCATTGGCAGAGATGAGGACTTGAACCTGGGTCTCCCACATCACAAGTGAGTGCACTAACCACTGGGCTAAAAGATATAGGGCTGGTAGTGGTACCACCACCAATGGCATAGGTGCCTAATTTCAGGAGTGTTCACAGTTGAGAAAAGCAAGCAGAGATAGGTGCCTATTTTGGGGAGTGGGATGGGGCTTAGCACAGCCCTGTCTTGTTGGCACCTCCCATTGGCTAGCTGGCTTCCTGCCTAGCATACTGGGAGCTTTTGTTTTATTTCATTCTAAGGTGCCTGCCTCTGCACATTCATTGTATAGGAGTTTAGGTGCCTAACTCAGGCATTGAGTAACACAGTGATTTTCTAGGTGCTTAAAAGTTAGGTGTTGTGACACTTAGCATAACCATACCTAACTTCTTTTCTGCATCCAGCCCTCCAGAGATAAGGAAGAGGCCCAGGGAAAGGCAGCAAGGTGCAGGAGGGAACCACACCTTGGCTGATGTTTAGAGGGTCCCCGAGCTGGAACCTGGAGTAGAGGGTGGGCTCAGGTTCCCCATTAGCCACTGAGGAACTGGCATTTGGGGCAGTGAATGGCAGGATTGCCTAAAACTGCTGGCGAGCAGGGACTTTGGTACACAACCTCGGAAGGGAGGAACATTGAATGACCTGGCTGGAGGGCTGACTCATGAAGAAGCAGCAGCAGCTCCTGGGGTGAGAGAAGGGTTGCAGACCAAGAGCAAGAGACAGAGAGATGGAATGCAACCACAAGAAGGACCATTGCTTATGTTAAGCTAATTTCCAGAATGGCCAGGAGGAGGTGCCATCCTGTGGTGAATAGAGCACCCTGTCTCAGAGAGTTAGGGGCCTAAATACCCTTATGGATCTGGGCTTGTATGCATTGATCTGAGGGCAGAATTTTTTCCTTAAAGTTTTGTAAATATACCACAGTACGACTTCAAGCTTTATGGCTTTTATAAAACCTCCAGACAAAATACAGAAAATATTCTTACCCTGGCAAACTCCATTGGCTTAGGAAGTAGGCACATAACCATGACATCAAATCGAACATCACAAACTGTCTTCAGCCACTTGGTGACAAACTGAGGTTTGAGTTTTTCCACCAGGCTACCAACTTCATCATCCATCATATAAGCTGTGGAATGAAACCACTGGAAAACCATACTAACCAGGCGAGCTAAGCTCTCTGTTGGAGTATTCTCACTGGGAGTACAAAGGCTCACCTGGAAGACAGCAAAAACAAACCTAATTTTCAATTTATCCCAAGATACTGTGGTAACTGCTGGTGGGGAGGGGACTGTACCATTTTCTATAAGATTCTTCATCTTCTCTGAGATTCCACTCTGCACAGGGCCGGCTCCAGGCACCAGGCAACCAAGCACATGCTTGGGGCGGCATCTGGTAAGGGGCGGCCAATCTTGGGGTGGCGGGGGGCAGCGCGGCGCGGCATTCCGTGGGGGGGAGGGGCACTCTGGTGCACGGCGCTCGGCTGGGGGGCGGCACGGCGCTCAGGGAGGGGTTCCGGCGGTGCGGCGCTCGGCGGGGGGGCGGGCTCCAGCGACGCGGCGCTCGGCGGGGGGGTGGCGCAGGGCGCTGCGCTCAGGGTGGGGGTTCCGGCGGCGCGGCGCTCGGCGGGCTCCAGCAGGGCGGCACTTTTTTTGCTGCTTGGGGCAGCAAAAAAGTTAGAGCCGGCCCTGACTCTGCATCTTGATAATGGGGTAATGGAGCTACTTGCTTCTCAGTATTTGTATGAATACAGCTCAGGTGTGTATTAACTGAAAAGCATTATCATCTGACAGTCTCTTTGAAATGAATTGCTGATCTCTGTCCAGTTCCTAAGTTCACTTCATGCTAACTGGCACCATTGCTGTCAGTCTCTGAGAGTTGACTGTCCTGGTAAATGACTGAATTAAGCTAAATGAATTTAAAGGTGAGGTCAATGATAGGACAGATGACCCTGCAGAAAGAGGGGAGAGGGAGAAACAGCAAGGAACACTTACTAAGAACCAGATTCCAAACTGGCTCAGGATGCGCTGGTCATGCTTGTCATCATCTTTGTTATCAAAGTCAGTGTTGTCCAAGGAATGATGGGAAGAGGAGAGGCCCATCTGCCTCCTGCGGTTGAGTTCATACTCCCTCTGCTCAGCATGGAACTCTGCTTCCTTCAGCAAGCTGCAAAAACAAGGGGAATGTGGCCCGTAATTCAGCCTTTCTGCACTGGAAGTAGATAGCTGGTCAGTGACTATTACAAGTTAAAGCACTAGACTTCATTCATATCCCTGTGCACAGTGTCCTTGAAGGGTAAAAAACATAATGAAATAAGATAAAGACCCAGCTTTCAAGGTCAAATTCTGACACTCAGACACATGTGTACAAGTCCCTCGGCCAGATTCTCATCTTTGCTACACCAGAATGATTTCAGTGCAGTCACTGTGGTTTACGCTGGTGAAACTAGGATCACAACCTGGCCCTGGGACATAGGATTTGCAAGTACAGGTGTGAGGGTCAGGATCTGACCCTGCGTTTATTTGTTTGCCTCATTACCTGATCACAGCTTCCACAGTACAAACTAGTTCCTCAGCCCCACACTCCCGCGTATTGATTGGGGGAGGAGATGTCTGATAAAGGTGGGTCTCTGCGGCTGCCCCAACTTCACTGCTGTGATGGTTCGAATGGCATCTTTTGCAGTAGCGCACTGGCCTGTTACCATGGCGGCCACAGCAGCCTGCTGAGAAGCAGGTGACGACAGCCCTTCTGACATGTGAGCTACAGTTCTGGAAACAAACAGAGTTTATCATGCCACATGTGGCAGTAAGTGGAACTGAAAACAAGAATGAAAATCAACACAACAGAGCTAGCTAATATGTTGGCATTTTTTAAAATTCACTAGAGATGGGTCCAAAACATGCCCCTGAGCCAAGCATTACCAAACTTCAAGGAAAGATACATGTAGACCTAGACCTGAATGTCATGGATAGTCTCCTTTCTCTGGAATGGGCCAAATCAATGCCTCACCCAGCAACCTCAACTGTCTGGCTTGGGCCAATCTCTAAAGGTAATAACAGCATCTAATTTTCAGTTCACCTATACCCAATTTATTTCTAAGCACACACATACTCTGATTCAGAGCATTCCCCTCATTCCTCATAGCAGTGTGATTCTTAGAAACAAACTAGAAATACAGAAAGGAAAAGGAGTTCACTTTGGTGAATATTTAATACTTGTGTCCTGCAAAATTCTCTCACTCCCTAATTATAGCTCAGAATTTTTGAAAGTTACACATAACAGGGCCAGATCCTTTGCTGGTTTAAATCCATGTAGCTTCATTGATTTCAGTGGAGATATGCCAATTTACACCAACTCATTCAGGGTAACTTTCAAAATTTCTGAAATATAAATTAACTTCAACTGAGCTATGCCAGTCTATACCAGCTAAGGTTTTGGCTCAATGTATAAGCTTTTTCTAGCACATGAGACCTTGAACATGTCTATCCATACTTATTAAATTATTATTAAGAAAATGTTGCTAGTATGTTTTGCAAGTAGATTGGTTTGTCAGTACTCTGTGTAGGGTCCAATACTGAAGACTGAGTTGGTCTTTACCTAAGCCAAAATCCACTGACTATAATGGGAGTTGTGCATAATTAAGGACTAATCCAGTACTTCAGTATTGTGGCCCAGAATATATAAAATGCTTGGATTTTAAATTAATAGTTCATTCTCTCCTCTTTATAAGTAGTTGTAGCGGGGTCATCACCCCGCTCCTGCCCGGAGGGGTTAAAAAACGCTCAGGAGAGGGCTGTAGCTGGAGACAAGCAGCCCAGGCTGATTGGGGAAGCAGCCTCAACTGAGGCCACACCCCCTGCTGGGGAGTGTACCTGAGGTGGAGCAGGGCTGGGGGAAGGCCAGAGGAGCTCTGACCTGGAAACCCCCCAGGCTGCAGGCCCAGAGTAAGGCCGAATAGGTACTGGGACTGCAGGGGGCAGCCCAAGGGTAGGCAGAGGCAGCAGGTCCAAACCCCCCTTGCCTGTGATGAGTGGCTTATATACTGCAGTCTGCCCCAGTGAACAGGGGCTAGATGGGGACTGGGCAGTAGCCATATACTGAGATGAGGCGGGGGTGGGGGTTCCCCGGGGAGGAGAGACCCAGAGGCTGAGGGGTGTACTGGTGGGGTTCCCTGGGGAAGGGAGACCCAGAGACTGAGGGGTGTACTGCCAGGGGGCAGCACCCTGGCGTGCAAGGGGCACCGGGTCCGGGAGGGACACGGGGGCCTGCCAAAAGCGGGACACTGGCCTGCGGAGGGCGCTCTGATGGCTGAAGATCTAATTCCCAGAAGGTACCAGCAGGAGGCGCCGCAGGGGTGAGTCCCGCACGGTTACAGTAGTATTATACACAGACTGGTAAAATCAATTGCACAATAAGACTGCTTTGTTAAGCTATCATTTTAATGGAAACCTCTCAAAATCAAAAGTCGAACTGCAGCAATCTGAGCCAAAACAAATCTCACTGCTAAATCACCTTCATTTTCCCTTAACAAATGTGGCAATGGATACATTATGAAAAAACTTCAGATGGCAAAAAATATATCACACAGTAATGGGATGAAGTTACGCACAAACACACCAAATCATGCCCCATCACAGAAACAACTTAGTCTTACCTTCTTCTGACATATAGCAGAAATTTCAGCTGTAAGGGGAAGGTATACAAAATATCAACACAGTACTATCACTTTTCTCCCTTACCATGGCAATCATGGGAGAAACATATGTGTAAAAAGAGCCTCCAGAGTTTGACTTGACTTTCCAAATATTATCCTTTTCCTCCAGCTATATGGTAGGTTTCCCTACTTGTATCTGGAACACATCAGATGATTGATGTCAACTGTACCCAGCCAATGGGCCGAATTCTATAGGTGAAAATTCCAGTGAAATTAATGGAAGCTTTGTCTGCCTAGGGACTGCAAAGTCAGGCACTGTAATTTGAAGGAAAGTTCTTCATAATTACATTCACTTTCTATACTAGCAGAATTTAAACCAGTGCCCCCTTCTCTCCACCAGCAAGTCATAATAAACGCCTGGGTACAAGGGCTGATAAAATGCAGACCACTGAAATCTAAATGTGAGCCACAACTGCTTTTCTCTCCTGCATCGATTGTCATCCCCCAGAGTGCAGTACTTCAGCCCCAGTGCCAGGCTGTTTGGGTCAAGTTAGGTCGCTGCATGCTGTAAACTATAGGATATGCAAGAGATGAGAGCTGGTAGGTCCTGAAGTAGGCAAAGCAAGGACTGCTCATGCATGCCAACTCTTGTGAATTGATGGTGAGAGTTGCGATTTCTGAGTAAAATTAAGCCTCACTCATGATCTTGCAAGAGAACTCTCAAAATCAGGATTTTTTTTTGTCAGCCATGGCACAAATCATGTGTTTCCAGTCAAACAGGAGATACCCCATTCTAAACAAAGGAAGGTGTTTTCTCCATCCAGTAGTTAATTCCACAGTACTTGAACGATGAGAATTCATTTACATATCAGGTAAGCAGAGCTATCAAACTAACAAGAGACAGCTGGCTGGCTACACCGCAGCAGGGGAGAGAAACTTCATCTGATAGAAAGAGGAGGGCCAAACCTCAAATAAGCATCAACTGAAAAAAAATCCTGACATTTGAGAGTTCTAAAAGTGAGGTTTAATTCTACTTAGAAATCATGTCAGTCATCCCAGGCACAGCCATGGCTCCAGCTGTCAGCCCTGGGTGGCTGGTCCCCTGCCAGCCTAGGAAGTGGAAGAGGGGACCCCACTGCAGCCCCCCAGGTCTGGGGAGGGTGAAGAACCTTAAGGAGCAGAGGTGAAGCTGGAGGCTGCAGAGGGGGCTGAAGTGAGGAGGGTGAGCACTGATGGTGGGTTCTGAGCAGATGGGGTGAGTGCTGGGAGGATGAACTGAGGGCGGTGGGGGTGGATGGGGTAGGGGGCTGAATTGCTGGGGTGGTGATGATGGGGGCTGGGAGACTGAACTGAGTGGGAGATTGTACTGAGGAGGTTTGGGGGGGAGAGAGAGAGAACTGATGGGGGACTGGGATACAGGGTTAATTGTTGGGCAGGAGAAGGGCAGATGTGGGGGTGAGAGCTCCTGCAGCAGGGGCCAAAAATCGCCTTATCCATTACATGTGGAGAGTGGGCAACACTATTACATGCACACCCCCTGGGAATGAACAAGGGGAGTTCAGAAATAAAGAGACTGGCCTAAAAAACACAGTATAATATTTTTTTTAAATGTCATGATTTTGGGGCCAATGATTTTTGGGACTCTGACTCATGATTTTTGATCTCTTGAAGTTGGCAATACTGACTGCTGCACTGGAGAGAAGGGATCAAATGGGGCCCACCCAGAGCCACCCTTCCCCCAGCATGCCCCTTCACCCAGAGCTGTGCAGGGAGACCACTCCACCTAGGTCCCAATGCCCTCAGTGTGATGACTCCCATCCCCCCACCATGTGGGCTTGGGAGAAGACAGAAAGGACAGGAGCCAGCCAGAGACTGCAGCTAATGGGAGCAGAAGCAGCCAAAGCAGGGTCCTTTGTATGTCTATGCATTCAGAGAACTTTCTAGTTTTGTCTGGACCTTCTCTGCCCTGTGCTGACTGGCTGTTTGCTCCACCTCCCTCTCCTTCACATTCTCTTCACCTCAGCTTCACTCCACACCTGCACCTCTTACCCTCTTCTCCCCTGCCCCACCCATGCTTTCCCTTCCCTTTTCTTTCCATTTAGCTGATCCCCTCCCAAGTAAATCCACATGCACCCCAAATGGCAGAATTAACATGTTTGCTGCCATCACAATGTTCATTCTGCTTGTGTGTTCTACTCCTTCCCTCAGCCTCTGTCTGTCTTGTCTATTTAGATTGGATGCTCTTTGGGGCAGGGACCATCTGCTAGCCTGTTTGTACAGCACCTAGCATAATAGGGCCTCACTCTTGGTTTGCCCTTATGGACTACCATAATAAACATAATTAATAACAATAATAACTAGGAATGTTTGCACACTATTCTGAAGATGCTAAGGAGCATTTAAGTGTAAACAATTATTATTTTCTAGTATTCTGTGTGGTTTTCTTGAAAGTATAATACAAATACCTCAGATAACAGAGGAAAATAAACAGACGTATGATTGTAGAGTCACAATTACTTGTTGTTCATCCTTAAAGTATATCTTACCTTGTGGCAGGAGAACATCAACCAACCATTCACTGTGGTCCCTAAAATAATTCAAATATTTAATTAACATCCCTTTTTATTTTATTTTTGCACAAAAGAAATATCAGTGATCTACACTGTTCTGAAAAAGCTTTTCTGTAAATAGCACATCATAAATAGAAGGCTGTTTTAAATCAGTTCTCTTTGTTATGCCCTATTGATTGCAAATTACCACTGTGCTGATATTTGTCCATGTTCAAGGCTTTCAAATATTACTTTGAAGACATTAATTTAGCAATTTAGAAAATACAATGTGTTCTGTATATCCTGAGATTAAAAACTGATGGTGAACAGTGTTAGACAAACATGAAAAAAAGAAAAGTACCTGTTCCATACAGTGTATATCTGTTTAGAAGCCATGGCTGCAATTAAATTTGATTACTTTTCCCTGCAGCTTTAAATCAAGGATGACTTCAAAACCAAGGTGACTTCTGTGAAATTTAATTACTTTTCCCTGCAGCTGCTATGATACAGAGGTGTCTGTTAAACAAGGGCTAAAAATAAATATGCACAGCTTCTGAACTAAGCAGAACTTCATTCATTTGCACTAATGATTGGGAGACACATTGCAAATTAGTGGATTTCGTAAATTAACAAGTTTCCAAACAAAACTTAAAATGTGAGGATAATTCATGTCAGAATGTATTTCTGCATGTACTTCACAAGTGTGATCTAGTTTTAACTCCTTATGCAGTTGCTTCATGGAGTACACTAGAGAACGTTGTGAAGTACATTTTCCATAAAAGTAATGATGCCTCAGCAAAGGAGACCTCACTACAGTGCTCTTAACAGTAAGGAGAGGGGAGAGACATTGTTCTTGTGCAAAAAGGGTGTAGATTCATAACAAAATCATATAATTCACAAATCTTATCTTTAAGACTCACTAATGTGCAAACTAAAAGCAAATGCTGTGCACTTTGGGCCGAACTCTGCTACAATTACTCGTACCAGATAGCAGCTTACTTTACAGGTGGCTCTATTAACTTCAGTTAGATTATTTGTGGAGTAAGATTCTATTCAACATGAGTGAGGGTGTTAGAATCTGGAGTTGTATACTAATTGTATGTGGTTGTTTTTAATTGACTATTTGTGATTATCATTCATCTCCAAGTCTTAGTTTACCCACCCTGCAATCCTCTGGCTGCATTCTTCACACAGGTAAAGTGGAGGTGGCTTATCACCCAGAGCCACAGACAAGGAAGGTTCTATGCACATCTGAAACACATAGGAAGAACAGAATGAACTCCTCTCTCCATGAAAGTGCTCTGGTTTCATAACAATCCTAGGGGTTAATGCTACAAGGTAATGAGCATCCCCTGGCATCAGTGTTTGTGGAGGGCATTCGTCATCTTGCAGGAGGCACTCAGCGCCTGCCAGTGTTGTGTCCAAAATGATTTCCGCCAAAGACAAGCTCAAAACAGGGAACCAGTCTGTGTAAAAGGAGAGCATTGTCAGTCCTGTTTTCTACATTTTTGTTTTAAGTGGGCCTATGGGTGTGGTCTACACACAGTAACACAGGTGTGTCTTTCTGTTACATTAGTATAACTAAACACATGTATTATATTTCATGGTCATTGCAGTTCTTTCTTTAAGAGGCAGACTCTCATACAGGAGAATTTGGCTCAATATTTTTAGGCCAAGCTAAGGTAGAATTCTAGAACTTTCAATCACAGTGGTGTCACTTGCAACATCTATATGCTGCAAGTATACATGCAACATGGCTCTTGGCTATACAGCACATATGTGATAACAGAGATAGAACCCAGGAGCTCTGACTCTCAAAATGCAGGCCTCTGTCACCAGAGCTAAAAGAATAACTCCATTGTCTTGCACTAGTGGTGAAGCTTTTATCCTCTTTGTGGGTTAGCCATTAGATGGCAACATGATCACACATCTGAGCAGATGCATTACACTATTTAAGTACTTAGAAGCAGGACGGTCATAGGTCTGGACATGAAAACTGTGACGGGGTGATCTTTCCCTTATGGGTACTGGTGCCTAGACTTCAGCTCACACCAGCCACATGGCATGGCCCTGTAATGGGGTGTCCACCCACATAAGGCCTGAAGGGGGTAAGGTGGCTAGGACAATCACCGCTCTAGGCAAAACTTCGTTTTGCTGCCCTGCTCCAACCCTTTAGTGCAGAGGTTCTCAAGCAAGGAGGTGCACCCCCATGGACTTCTGGGGGGAGTGGTGGAGGTACAGCAAGCCTTCTGCTGGTCCAATGATTATTGTAAAAGTGGGGGGCCAAGCTCCAGATCACAGCTCTACTCACTCCAGTTTGACCCAGTTTCCCTGTGGCATGACACGACGGTGGCTGGACCAAATTTGAGTAGCATTGCAACCTGGCACACAGGGTCGCAGCACCATTCAAATGTGGGATTTGTGGGGGAAGGTGTTGTTTTGTGTTCTAGTAGGCTTTGCGCAAGTTCACCAAGTGCACATTGGTTAATCTGGGCCTGCTCCTCTCTGAATTAGGAACATGCTGATAACTAGAACTACAAACCCAGTTTCAAGAGGAGGGCTGGGGGAACACTCCTCTAGATGTGGGAAACCAGAAGGGAAACCGAAAGGACAGTTTGGAGTATAGCCTGGGGAGTGCCAGAGAGGCTGAAGAGCCACAGAGAACAGTGGTCTCTGTAACAGACCAGTGAGAAGCCACCTAGGAAACCAGACCCTCTGGAGGAGAGGACCACAAGATTTGAACTAGAGGAACAGTCTACAGGACCAGCATGTTAGGAAGCACACCAGGGAAACAGTAAAGGGTTGTCAATTTCTTTCAAACTCCTTTATACAGGGTTCCTAGCCTGGAACCCAGAAAATGGCCAGACCTAGGCTCCCCTACCAAACCCATCAGGAGGGTTTACTAAGGTCTTGAGCAAGTGGGCCACACTCAAAGAGATCAATGACTGTATGCCCCTCATCTAAGGTGATTGGCCTCCTGAAGCATTGGACTCTTTAGCACCCTGAAAGGGGGGAAGGACTACCAGCCATCCAGCCGGGGGGCTAGGGTCACGACAAAGGACCCATGAGCAGGCTAGATGGTGAGGGGTCCATCAGAGTAGGATGCAGCCTTGCTGTGTCACCCAGTTTCACCACAAGGGGGCAGTGAAGACAAAAGGCAATCGCTAACAGACACCATAATATCACGTCTAAACTAAATTAGAGTTTCTTAATCTAGCCAAGTGCTTGATCTTGCTGCGAATGACAGAGGGTATATTCCTCTTTGGATGTAATTCCATCCCCTCTAGTGACAAGAATTTGGGGCATATATCTAAGAGAGAATAAGACTCAATTCATATATCTCTACATAGCTCGGATCTTCATTCTACAGCAAAAAGTAGTTCAAATGAAAGTCCATTCAAGACTCCTAAGCATTTACATGTACAAACCTTAGAACTGTAAATCTCACTAAGAGTTACTCTCCCCACTGAATGGCTGGAATCTGAATGTGGTGACCTTTAGGTCACAATGCGACACCTGTCTGTTATCTTTCTCTGGTGATGGGAGGACCTAACTGGGGGTGACTGGGAAGGGCTGGATGAGTGGCTGGGGTTGAAGTATGCTGGGTGGGAAATGTTGGGAGCTCTGAAGTCAAGTATGAACATCATTTTTTGCAATTATAATACACTGGGAGACTAGTTTACTGGGAGGGAGAGATCTGTCAAGTGTCATTTTGATCAGTTTAATTGTTTTAATGTTTAGAAGGTGCCTGGAATATAGGTTAGGCCTATAAATAAATAAATAAATAGCTAGCTTTACTACAGGCAGAGTGCACCAGACTTAGACTCAGTAAATGTGGGTTTTATTCCTGACTCTCCTACTGCCCACTGAATGACCCGGGGGTCTGAATGACTTAACCTCTCTGTGATTCCTGTTTCCTGTAAAATGGGAATGATGCTATTTATCTCCTTTCTGAAGCATTTTGGAGAAAATAATTAGTAATATTTTTGAGAAAACATAACACTGGGGTAGCCAGAGACCACTCCAGAGATTTTCCATGGGTAGATTTTCCATGGATAGGGTTGCCAATTTTCTAATCTCACAAAACTGAACACCCCTGCCCCGAGGCCCTGCCCTTGCCCTGCCCCTTCTGAGGCCCCGCCCCACCCCTGCTTGCTCCATCTCCCCTCCCTCCATTGCACACTCTCCCCCACCTTCACTCACTTTCACTGGGCGGGGGGGGGTGCTGGGTGCAGGCTCCCGGAGGGAGTTTGGGTGTGTGAGGGGACTCCATGCTGGGGCAGGGGGTTGGGATGCGGGCAGAGTTGCGCAGTCCTGGCGGCACTTACCATGGCTCCCAGGAAGCGGCCACCAGGTCCCTGCAGCCCCTAGACACATGGGCAGCTGGGGAGGCTCCATACACTGCCCTCACACCCACAGGCACCGCCCCCACAGCTCCCGTTGGTCACGGGGGGGAGGGGGGAAGGGGCAGCGCGCCAAGCCTACCTGGCCACCCATGCACGTAGGGACTGCAGGGACTTGGTGACCACTTCCAGGAGCTGCGCAGAGCTAGGGCTGGCAGGGAGTCTGCCTTAACCCTGGGCCTCCACTGTGCCGCCGACCGGACTTTTAATATCCTGGTTGGAGATGCCGACCGGAGCTGCCAAGGTCCCTTTTGAACCAGGCGTTCTGGTTGAAAACTGGACACTTGGCAACCCTACATGTGGCCCGTAACCATCCTTATATTTAATATGGGGACATAGCTCATGGAAGCTCCAGGATGAAATACTCCATCTTCATCTGAGCAGCCAGGCTACATAGGCCATCTAGATCAAGACGTATTCTTAGGCCCTTTAGTTTCCACAGGCCATGCTGCCATCTTAGTTCCTGTATCTGATCTTATGGAAGTCAATAGGAGTTTTGCACCTGACTTCAGTAGAAGCAAAAGCAGGCCATTAAAGATATGGGTAAGCAATTTCCATGCCAAACTCAGCCCTTGATTACATACAAGTCTTACCGACTTCAGTGTGTGACCGGAGACAAAATGGGGCCCTAGCTTCAACCCATGGGCTTACAGAAATTTTACATTAAGGCCCTCAACTGGGCAAAGTTCTGGTCCTGTGGAAATAATGGTACCTTCACAGCTGGTTTGTTAATTGCATTATGGCATTCAATATGCTGGCAGTGGATGGGATTCCAGGCTGAAAAACCAAAACACAGCTGATTAACAAACAAATATTATTCATAGGTACCATTTATGCTAGTGCCCAGAGACCCCAATCCAGACTGGGCCCCATTGTGCTAGCTGCTGTACAAATACAAAGGAAGACATGGCCCCTGTCCCAGGAAGCATACTAATAACAACAACAATTTATAACATGCCTGCCTGGATTATGAGGTAGACTGTATTCCCAGACACAAGAGTATAAAACGGGAGTAAGGAACCCTCCCCAGCAGCCCTTTCATCTCTTTCATGTTACCCAGATTTTGCATTAATTTATGACTACGCCCAGGAGCACAGAGGAGCAGCCTGGTATTTGTGACTCCCTAAAGCACAATTCTTTCCCTGAGCTGTTCCTAGGGCAGCTCAGCAACACACTATCCCTTACTAAGGGCTGTGTCCTCAATGCTCAGATTTTGTCACAAATTCCAGCTCTCTAGGGAATTTGAGCCCTACCTAGGGGGGAAACTCCCTGTGATCGGCTGTCTGCCCCACTCGCCTGCCTCCTGGGGCTGAACAACCAACCAGAACTGCTATAGAAAAAGCTCTCCCCACCACTACCCCATAGCAATCCAAAACTGTTCTGACAGGAGGGGAGAGGGAAGGAAGGAGCTAAACAGACCAGCTGCTCAGGACAATTCCATCCAACCCTCTGAGCAATGTGAGGGATAGGATAGCATGAGTGTTCCTCCGTAGGCCCACCCCCCCGCGACTGGAAAGGGTACCTTGCTGCAGTCCCCCAGGCCTGAGAGAGGGGGGTGAAAACCCATGAAGAGCAGAGGGGAAGCTGGGGGGCTGAGGGTGGGATCAGAATTAATTGTTGGCAGGGAACAGGCAAATGTGGGGGCGAAAGCTCCTGTAGCAGGAGCCAAAAATCACTTTACCCAATAAATGTGGAATCTTTTGCAACACTGTCATGCATACTCTGGGGATGGGCAGGAGCAGTTCAAAAGCCAGAAGACAGACCAAAAACCACAGAATAGAATATTTTATTTTAGAAAGCCCATGATTTTTTGGGACAATCTCATGATTTGTTGGGGTCCAAATCTTTATTTTTGCTCTCTTGAGGGTGGCAATACTGTGTCCTAGAGACACAATCTAGCCCTAAATGAGCCGCACAACAATTTAAAATATAATAATATGATGAACAAGATCAGAGACCAGCAATATACAAACCAGAGCGACGTTTAAATCCCAATAATCTGACCTCATTAAAAAGGGGAAGGGAATTCTACATAGGAGGTGACAGTAATCAAATATTAGAGGTGCGTTCCAGTGGCATAATTTGGATCAAGACCCAAGTTCACATTCTGAATGTCCCAAAGTTCAGGGTTATTTGAGTGTGGGGTTCTGGTGCCAGCCCAACTGTACTCCAAATGGGAAAAAAATCCAAAAAGACAACACAACATTGAAAATATGATTCTTCAAAGCAGAGAGATGGGGTTAAGGCCAACAAGCAGCAAAAGGAAATTCCCACCCTTAAGAACCACCCCAGCAGAAGCACAATCCCCTACCAATATAAGATGCAAAACAGCACAGAGGAAGGTGAGCATGAGACCTTGTGCCATCCACCTACTCAGCTTTGTCTCTCTCTTCCTCCTTTCCCACATCCTTCTTCCCAGCCCTGGGAACTTTCCTACTGAGCTCTGTTTACACATGACTCCAGTGACAGTAATAGCTAGAAGAGGAGTCATAGCAACAGCAGCAGCTATAACAAATGAGACATCAATAGCATCCATCGTGACAGTAGAAAGGGACATGGAATGGATTCCTTCTGGGTACCTACAGGGTACATTTATATCCCAGTTCGGGACTTTGCACTGTAGGTTTATGGGGAGAGGTTATCCAGTTAGTGTTGGGACTGACACACTGGATTTATTGGATCTGATCCCAGCTTCTACTCCCCATAATTTCTACTGATTATCATCACCTTTTGAAAGCACACTGAAATAGACATTGCCTATACTTAATATATCTGCCTATAGAATATTGTAGTTAGGATCCCTCTGACAGGAGTTAACAGCTAACACTAGTATACACTAGACCACCTCGTTTATTGTATTTATTTGGGTTTATACAAACATTTTTGCACTTACCTGTGTACTGCAATCCTCTGTACTCACTTATTGCCCCTGGCGGTTTTAAATTGGGCCAATAGTGGAATAGCATTTGTACTGCCGGAGGTTTTACTTGAGAAGGACCATAAGCTATTACATACAGCAAGTCCTAAGGAAAAACATGTGTAGCCTGTTTAGTTTGCATGGTAACAAAACACTACTCATTTCATAACATTACTTTATGTATGTTTTCAAATGTACATACACATATACCAATTGTATACATTTTACACCCTGCCCACCACCTTTTGCAAACTCTTTGGTGGAGCTTAAATGGCAACTCTACCAGTATGTTTGTAAAGCACCTAGCACAATGGATCTGTGATCTTGACTGGGGCCTCCAGGTGCTACCACAATGCATACAATATATAACTTGAAACAAATTAAGCCTTCTGTCTAGATACAGACCAAAAAGGTGGAGTTTAGATCCATAACTGGATCCAGATTTGGTTCAGGCTAAGGATAGGAATCCAGATTTGAGGTCAAATAGGGACTAAATTACCTCTGGCCTCAATGATACTACACACAAACCATCCTCATAAAAATTCAGCCCAATGTGAACTAGTAAGATCTCTTGCTCTTACAAGATTTTTCCCAACGTGAGCAACATTTAAGCAGGATTCAGAAAACGGGCCCTGGTCTGAAGGGATGGAACAGCATCTATAAATTCCAATTCTGAGCAACCAACACATGCTTGCCCCAAATTCAGCAGGAGGATCACATATGGAGATCACTACTTCTGACTTTCTGGCTCAAAGTGACTACAGTTTTCAAGCCATCTGGTTTTCTTTATTGTAAACAACATTGTCTATATAAGGTATATTTGGTCACAAACTTACTTTCCATACTTCTTGCTTATATTTCATGAGGCATTCCAGTAACTGACAATGATACACTGAGAGAGAAAAGACCATATAAGCATGACACTGAAATGGAAACTCAAGTTCAAGAAATGGCTTGTGTCGCATTTAGTTTAGTTTATTGAATCTACATTCTGTTTAATTCAGTGTTTACAAAGTGAACACTCTGCTACGGGTTCATTGTCCTGGGGTTAGAGTAGATAATTGAGAGTCAAAAATTAAATATCAGTAGTTTGTTGATGCTGAGGAATGCAGTAAATGATGAGACTTACTAGTGTACCAATTTTGGCACTTACTCTTTGCACAGAGATGGAGTAGTTCCCTTTGCCTACATCTGATTTATCTGCCTCTTCACTTAGACCTTGTTTTTATGGCAGTATTTTAATATATAATGCCAAATTCAGCTCTGGTGTAACAATGCTGTGGCTAGAGCAGGGATCTGGGAGCAGGGCCGACGAGAAGGGGGGGGGAGCCGGTACAAATTACTGGGGCCCAGCGGTCCGGAAGGGGGCCCAGGGCCCGGCTTCTCCCCCCCCTCACCCCCAATTGGCCCTGTTTAGCCGGTCCGCCCTTGCTGGGGGGCCCAAAAATTTTTTTTCACTGAGGCCCAAACCCACTCTCGGCAGCCCTGTCTGGGAGTCAAAAAGCAAAATACTTCATACAAAAATCTCATTCATATTTAAAATTTGTCCTAAAAATAGCTTATTTCTAGGTTGTGGCCTACTTTTATTCAGCTTTGGTTAATTATGTTTGTATTGTGGGAGACTTCTTCACATGCTCATGGTACAGACAGCCCAGTGCATTTCAATATCTACACCACTTAATAAATAAATAGAATAGGAGAGAGTTGTTTACGGCAAAGAGAGTCAATTCCTATGGGTCAAATGTTGTCTTCACTTGACAGTAGTGTGACCTCACTGATTTCACTGGGGCTGCGCCAGTGTTCGAGAGGTGCCTTCAGGTGCTTTTTAATTACAATTAAATTAATTACAGTTTATTTTGGAGCCCGTAGACAGCAATTGCTGTCTTGCTAAAGAAGTGACAACAATTGTGATTGTAGCAGTATAGGAGTCCAGTATATGAGACAATAAAACAGATTCTATTGACCTTTAATTATGACTGATAGTGGTTAGTAATGATTGCTAAGCACTGATGTTAGAATGTTCCATTTTCTGATGTTAAGCTAGAATAAGCAGGACTGCTTTAAAGTCTCAATTTCACCGTACATGCACAAACCAATGAAAAAATATTTCCATCGATAATGATCGAAATTTATAGATAGGGAGAGTAAGAAAAATACTGCTTGAGAACTTATTAGAGTTGGATTTAAGAATATGTACTTTATATGTTTTGACATGTGAGGTTGACAATTTGTGTTTTAATGGTTATAAAGCTGTTGCTTTTTTCAGTCTCAACATCTACTGTCACTAAATATTTATGGTCTGATTCCTGACCCCGTTCTCTGACCCCCAATACCCACAACTGTGAACTTTAAATCAATAGAAATTGGTAAAATACGCTTAAAACACATAATTTTGCACATCCGTGAAAATTTAATTTGATAAAAATAGGAAAAAATACTTACAAATAATCAACATTATCCATCAAAATTATAAACCAATAAAATTAAAATGGAATCCTGACAAGCCTAGTTGTCTGGAACACTGCTGCTTCAAATACCAGTCTCAGAAATGCCAAGTTTTAACTAAAAGGACTATTTTTAAATCCATTTTCGCAATTCCAGTATGGTGAGGAGGAGCATTTCCAATTGTCTGAACTTCCAGCGAGCTGAGTTCTCAAACAAACACTTTCTTTGATGTAATATTTCATGACTCATACCTTTACAAAGAGAGAGAGATACAAACAATGGTGCATATTTATTTATACATACCAGGATTTGATGTGTACTGCATTGCAATCATTAGCATTGAAGATGCAGATAGATTGACGTGTGCAGGCACTCCTTCTCTCCTTGAAGATCCCACTTAAAGGGAAGAAAAAATATCTCCTAGTGTACAGCAAGAAAAATTAGAAAACAACTGCACCCAGTTTAGATTTTGACTGACGCAAATAAAATGCATAGGGATGCATGTATTAAAAAAAAAAGACAACCGTGATGGGGCAAAAGCTCTCTGATGGCAAAAGAAAGACTATTGTAGATGTGGTGTTTGCTTCCAGGGTTTTAGCCTAGTTCCCCTGAATAGCAAGGTTTCTGTCTGAGAGCTGTGCTAGTAAAACCCTGCTCCAGAACCGTGGCTCTGAAATGTTTTCAGTCTGCAACCCACAAAATGGCCAAAATTCAGCCCGCAACACACCATATCCCACAATCCTTTGCTGTTAGGATTTAGGTCCTGGGGGAAACAATGGGAAGCTTAGGGGAGCTACTGAGTGGGGCAACAGGGTTGATGAGAGGACTGGTGTTGAGGAATGTGGGTGGGGCTGGAGTGGAATAGCGTGCTGGCTGTTGTTGGTCTATAGTATAGATTAGTCCCTAGGCAGCATGATTTTAAACACTATTCTCAGATTAAAAATCCCATTCCTCACTAGCTGGAATAACTGTACTAGGACATTGATACCAACAGCAGTATTTAAACATGGGAGCTATGATTCTGATAGTAGGGGATAAGACCTAATAGACCCTAGCTGGAGCTTCTGCTGCTCTCCTAGTGGGCTGATCAATGTTGAGCTAGTGGTCACCACCAGCTAGGATCCTGGGAAAGCCCTGAAGATTGAGGGTATTTATTGGGCTGCCATCATTCATCTCCTGATATTGATTGCAGAAACAGAGTTACAAAGCAAAGACTTAGTGGAGCCTGTTGCTGGGGTTATGTGGAAGAGAAGCTGTGAAACAGTTCAGCAATGTGCTATAGATGGCCAGACCCATAGATCATAGCACTCATATCATGAATATAATTGATACCCCTGAGTGTACATGCCACAAGTGTAATTACCTCAGATTTAATTACTGCTGTGCTGGAACTATTCTCTGCCACGTAGGTAGCCCAGTAATTACATGCCACTCAAAACAATCCCCAAATTATTATGGCACGATCTGTTTGTGATAATTTATATTGCGAAATACGTATTCTCCCGCAGTTCTGACCTACCATTTAAAATACAGTCTATAGAGAAAAGGTACCATGCGGTATTAGAAACAAAATATAGAGTTGTATTGATTTATACAGTGATTTGAGAAAGCTGTGTGAGGAAAAAAGCAACTGGCTAACTACTGCTCTCAGTTACATATGTACAATATCCACTGGGGGACTAGTATCCATTTAACTAAAGGGAGAATTAGGCTTAATAGGTTGTTTTGGAGAATAGTTTCAGAGATTTGAGGAAATACAGGATTGGAGGAGCACTCTATAGAAAGTTCTGCATTGAATGCATTTTTCACAGATTAGCATAATGGATAGTTCAACATTCTTTAAACCACAGTGAGACTACTGCATATTGATTTGTATTTCTATAGGACCTTCCATCCACAATATCAAAGAACTTTAGAAAACATAATAGAATTAAGCCTCACAAGACCCTCATGATATAGGGAAGTATTATTATTCCCATTTTACAAATGGGGAAACTGAGGTACAGAGCTGGTAAGTGGCCTGCCCAAGGTCTCACAGCAAATCTGTGGGAGAGCCAGGAATAGTAGATAACAGACCTCCTCAGAGTCCTATGCTTTAGGACACTAGACCATGCTTCTTCCCATATTCTGTAGAGATTTGCTGTGCAAAACTCCCAGTACCATTAATGGAGCTCTGAATGCAGAAATAGTTCATACTGTTAGATAAAGGACTCTAATATCCTGGGACCAACATGACTACACAACATCACTGCATACAACAAAGGTCTATAGGGCTGATAAGAAAGGGGAATTTAGCTGGTTATGGTGCAACTGACTCTTGTTATAGTCCCCAGTCTCCAAATGTGTGAAATGTGAAAAAAGATGTATTTACAGCAGCTACTGAAAGGTCAGCAAGCTTTTATCAGGTACATAGATGAGTGTTCAAAACACAGCTAGTCAGTACTGCTTTGGATCCACAGCTTGCGGGGATTTTAACTTTATGCAGTAATTCAATATCCTTTCAAAGAAAAACAGAAAATCAACTACCTATCAGATTCATTCCTGACAATTACAATTAGAACAGATTCCATTGGCACCCATAATTACTCAGTGCAAAACAATAAGATAAATAGATAGAGCCAAATTCTGCTATTGGATGTCCATCAGTTATATTGACAGTAGTTGTTCATGTGCATCCCAATGCAAATGTTATACATATTGCTGTTGCATCTGTATTTTCAGGAACATATTGTACATTTGCTCTGTATTCAGGATTCCCATTGCTACCATTGGAAGCGCTCTGTGTAATTAGTACAGTATATCACCTTAAGATGTTTTATTTCACCCTTTAAGTGAAAAGAAATAACCGAATAATACAACATAAAAAGTAGACATTCTGTATAACTTCTTCCTCTGTTAAGAGCAGCCACATTGAATTATATTTTGTAGTAAGCAAGTAGATTAATATGTAACCACATCCACATGCTAAATAAAACATTGATAACTATGGTCTAATGTTATTTCAAAAACCTACGTACTTTCTGAAATGTAACATTATTAGAATGAATTCCACTTACATATAGCCATAGGCAGAAAAGAGGTACTGAGATACTCTATAATATCCTTGTGCAGAAATGGTGGAAAGGTGGCTAATGTTGAAATCATTGTATAAGGCAAAGTACTCAGGATGTCATCATTGAGAAAAGGAAGCAAACATGTGGTTGTGTAAAAAATCGACTGTCCAAGATCTGTCAAAGAAAATTCAATAAACAGAGCATCATTATATTTAAAAAAAAAAAAAGATGTATTTTTTGGTTTATGGACTATTTACAAAACTATCATAACTTACACTTAAATTGTGCCTTTCTCCCCAAAATTGTTTAGAAATTTAGTTGATATTTAAACAACACACAGGAATCACTTCACCCACCATTATAATGAATTTCCTTCTAGGGTGGAAGGAGGCAGCTGTTTAACAGCAAATAGCAACAGTTTAGAGCAGAGGTGGGCAAACTACAGCCTTGGGCCACATCCAGCCCGCAGGACTGTCCTGCCCGCCCTTGAGCTCCCGAACTCTCCCCTGCTGTTCCCCCTCCCCCGCAGCTCGCTGTGCTGTCAGCGCTCTGGGCAGCGGGGCTGCGAGCTCCTGCCAAGCAGCGCGGCTGCGAGAGCCGGGAGCTTGCCCCGGTGCTCTAGATTGCGCGTTGGCATGGCTGGCTCCGTCCAGGCGGTGCGGCTGCCAGTTCTGGTGCTCTAAGCAGCATGGTAAGGGGATGGGGAGCGGGGGGGTTGGATAAGGGGCAGGGGGTCCCAGGGACTTGTCAAGGGGCGGGGGTGTGGATAGGGGTCAGGACAGTCAGGGGACAGGGGGGATGGGATGGGGTCCCTGGGGGGGGCGGTTAGGGGCAGGGGGTTCCGGGAGGTGGCGGTCAGGGGACAAGGAACGGGGGGGGTTGGATGGTTTGGGGGGCAGTCAGGGGGCGGGAAGTGGGAGGGGGCGGATAGGGGGCAGGAGCCAGGCTGTTTGGGGAGGCACAGCCTTCCCTACCCGGCCCTCCATACAATTTCGGAACCCTGATGTGGCCCTCAGGCCAAAAAGTTTGCCCACCCCGGGTCTAGAGGGAAAATGAACTCTGTGAAACCATCACAGGAGCATGGATGGGGGCGTGGGTTTAGGTAGGGAGAATGCCACTATCAGAGTTAGAATTTGGCCAGCACATTGGTATATAAATCGACCTATTCTTGTACAAAGTGCCATAGAAGCTGTCATAGCCACAGGAAATCAGAACCTATGTTTTAAATCTCATTCAAAGAGCAGCAAAGTGTCTCCAGAACACCAGACGGGGGCACTAGTTCTGTGCTGATTCAGAGGGAAGAATGTCACTGTATTTTCAACACTACAAGTGATTAAACTGCTGAATTCATTACCACAGTAAGTCGTGGAGGCCAATAACTCACCAAGATTTAAAAAGAGATTGGATATTTATATGGATATCAAGTATATTCAGAGTTATCATGATTAATTATACCAAAAATTGTGGAAAGGATATTAAAACTTGTGCTTCGGGGCTTAATCCAATCTTTAGACATCAGGATCAGACTTGTCAGGAGGGAGGCAGATTCTTCCACATTTGCCTTCCTCTGAAGTATCTGGTGCCAGCCACTGCCAGAGGATACTGGACTAGAGGTACCCTTGAGTCTGATCCAGTCTGGCAATTCCTATGTTTCTATGAATCACAAAAACCGCCTCCTGAAACAACTGGGTTTCTAGTCCAAGCTCTGCAACTAACTCACTGTGTGCCCTTGGGCAAGTCACTTAGGCAGCCTGTGCCTCTGTTTTCCCATCTGTAAACTGGGGATTTTTATACCTACCTTTGTAAAGTGCTTAGAGATCTATGGCTGAAAAGCACTCTACAAGTTCTAACAATCATTAATGTATTCCATTTTAATGTTCCTCAAAGGTCCTCCATGCAAGGGCCACATACTGCAGGATACAGAGTGCCTCTCTCTTGCAATAAATGCTCAGCATCTTGCACAAAAAGTAGTAAGTACAGACGTGGCCTAGCTTGTGAAATTTGACAGGATCAAAATACAAGTGGTCTGGCTGAAGGCACAACAGCATTGCTCTAGATCTAAGTTGTTCTGATAACTACATTTTATTAAAGAAATTACTAAGCTGAAGGAAGGAATAAATTACAAGTTTAATTGCAAATTTTAATTCACCGTACAGACATCATATCATCTCTTTTTACATCTATACTGGAATCAAAATATATTATCTATCCAAAAGGAATTCTGAAAGCAACAGGGAAATCTTTCCTGCAAAATGAAGTCATATACTTACCAAAACTTAACAGCCTGGAGCACAGTTCTCTCCACCTCAGTGTACAAGTGACACCCATTGAAATCAAGATAGATACTGGTCTCCTGAGATGGGGAGAACTGGGCCCCAGGCTTTCAGGAAAGATAACCATAGTCTACAAAATTGCATACTAGAGGAGTTGACTAAGAACAATATAAATAGCAACATGTGATCAAAATCTAATACATTTTGTGATGAGATGATTCAAAGCACTGTGCAAAACCCCCTATTTCTGTATATTCAGACTTACAATCCTTTCTTTTTACCCAGTGACATTTTAAACCAGTCTCTATTACAGTGGTTACCAAACTTGTTCTGCAGCTTGTGCAGGGAAAGCTACGGCGGGCTGGGCTGGGCCGGTTTGTGTATCTGCCGCGTCCGCAGGTTCGGCCAATCGCGGCTCCCAGTGGCCGAACCTGCGGACGCAGCAGGTACACAAACCAGCCCGGCCCACCAGGGGCTTTCCGTGCACAAGCGGCGGAACAAGTTTGGGAACCACTGCTCTATTATATTTGATAAAAGTTCTTAACTGTATTTTAACAATCTACTTTACATTTTACTCAGAGATGGACCTGATCTGCACATCCCTGAGCATTAGTGGGCTTCAGAATCCAAACCCAAAGCCAGATCCACAAGTTGCAAATAGGCTCTGACACTTCAATTGGAATACGTTGAAAATCTAGATCAGTTTAGGCCCATCTCTATTATTTTATTAAGGCCATGTCTACACTACAAAATATGTTGACCTAAATTGCATCAGCACACAGCCACCACACTTATTAAATCGCTTGTGTGCACGCATACTTGGGTCCTTGTGTTGGCAGTTCACCTCCTTATCAGGAGCGCTTGTATCGATTGAATTGTCAGTGTAGGGCATTGTGGCATTGTCCCTGAAAGCCAATAACAGTCAATTTAAGCAATGCAGCATCTACACTGACACTGCGTTAACCGAATTACATTGATCGTGACTCTATGCCACTCAGGGAGGTGGTGTTACTAAATCGGCGTAGAGAGGCACTTATGTTGGCAGGAGCCAAATTTACGTGTAGACACTTCCACAGCTAGGTTGACACAAGGCAGCTTACGTCAACGTAACTGTGTAGCATTGACCAGGCCTTACATACCACACATGGATTCAAAGCACTGGATCTACGTGTACGGTAAGGATTCAAAGGCCTGCTTACCATGCTGACCATGCTGTAGCAAAGGAACTAGATCCAGCAGAGTCACCAATGTCACGTAAAGTCCTTGATAGTCCAATGATGGGTAGTCTGATAACTGAGCATCACGACTTTGCTGGCCGCGTTCAGATGGAGCATCTCGCAGGACGCTGTAAAGGAGGGAGCGAGTAACAGTAGGGTTGATGGAACTGACCTGTGGTCTTAGAGATGGGGTGAGTGGGAATGGCACAGGAAAAAGACACATGGTCATGGGCACTGTCAAATTGGAGGCATCTTGATTCTCCTTCTTCCCTGTGCGGGACAAAATGCTGTTGGGGGGACAAAGAAAAAAAAGAGACAACAAAGACACAAAGAACAGCACATTACATTGAAATGACACTATAAAACAAATAATAAAACACCAGATACACCCCACATAAGATGCAATTTCTACCAATACCAGTGTGTTGGCAAATCTAGCAACCATTCACTTCCATGCTTCAAGATAGTAAAATTAAAAATTGCTGTTTGTAAAAATTTCCATTGCATCTCATGTGTTATCTGGTTCATAAGGAGCAAAAATATAAAAATGCATGTTTCAGTGCCATACCCATGTTTCACAGTTAAGCAAAATTTGGGACTTGAGCTGCTCGCTATGCAAAGAATAGCTGTGTTCAAATAGCTGGAGAATTTGCTTCTGAGAAGATTTGGGGGAAATACATTTTCAGTAAGATTGTTTGAACCAAGGGAGTGAAAACTTGTAAAATATAGGTGTGGCACTTTGAGAAACATGTTTTAGCAAAGAATAAACATGTGGGTTTGTTAAGATAGTCTTAAAAATCACATGTTTATCGCATTAAAATAATGTCTGTATGTATTTTATGATACTGTTTCATGACATTCCGTCAGTATCATTTGAGATAATGAAGTTTAAACAGGCACATGGATTTAGAAATAATATAATATTTCTAAAATGTTAACTAAACTACATTTGGAGAAGCTATAAAATAATATATAGTAGATGATCTTTAGCATATGTTTGTGAGCTAATGATAATGGTTGTTTATGTGTGTTTTTAATTTTGCCCATGTTTGGGGAGGAAACATTTTATTTTATGAATACAAACACTCTTTTGTTAAATAGTTTCTTCCAAATCTAAGGGCTAAGCAAGCAATACCAGTTATAGAACTGCACATCAGACAGTGTGTTATCATACATTCCTGCTGCTACGTACTTACGTTATTATTCAACATAACTCACTACAAACTAAAGGAAAGATAATTTCAAAAATTAAAATTAAAATTAGTGGGCATCAAAATAGAGGCTAAAAATCAACCAGCTTGCTATGTCTTTTTAAAATTGTTATAAACATGTTAGTCCAATTGTTCTGAAATGATTAATAATTTTTAAAATAGAATAAATTGCTGCTTAAGCAACAAAGCTATATTTTGGCTAGCCTAACAGAAAATGAATATGCATTACAGGGTTATCTAATAAACTTTTTCATGTTCCTATAAAAGTATCATATACTATTTTAATATATTAAACCATAGACCAACTTGTTTTACATGTACTGTACCTGTAGGGTGAGCTTCCAAAAGTGGCCAGTGTTGGCGTACCTCTACTCCCATTGAAGTCAGTGTTAAAACTAGTAAAGTATAGGTGGGGCACTGAAACATCCATGGACTTCAGTAGAGCAGACTTAGGTCAATGGTAAGCGCTTTTGAAAATTCCACCCACCCTACACAGAATTCAGGCCCCAATCTTGCAAACACTTAAACACACATGTAACTTTACTCACATGTTGTCTCATAGAAGTCAGTATGACAACTCACATGAGAAAGCTTCACACATGCTTATGTGTTTGCAAGAGAGGGCCTGATTTATTTGCCATATAAATTTTATTACAATTTTTACAAGTACATCTCTGAGCAAAGATGGCTAGAGTCAGGCATGCCTGATCTCTCAAGTATGCAGATGTTATATAGATACAATATAATCTACCCTAAGAAAAGTTACTGCATAGTGTTTTGGGGGTTTTTTCTTATTGTGCCTTGTATGCCTGTAAATTATTTTGGTTTCTGTTACCCAATGTCCAGTCTAAGAAAAGTGGTAATAAGACTGTTCTGACAGTTTTTATGAAATCATATCACTAAACCAACCAAGATCTATTAGGATTTTAAAAGTGAATTATCGGAGTGCTGATTCCTCTTTTTTGGATTCGCTTTTTTTTATTTGCTTGACTTTCATACGATACATTTTGCAGCTTCTGATTTGAGATGTGGAGGTTTAAATTACATTCAACCCCTCTCTGTGAACAGATGCTACCCAGTTACCCAACAAATCCAGTTCCTTGCCAACACATCACTCCCCAGAAGTGCTGCCCCCTGGGAGCAATACTTCCAGGAGGGACATTACAGCATTAATAAATCCTTGTTTTGGAAAGTGTAAGGCAGTGATGGCTAACATTCATCTCAGGGCCTCCCTCCTCCTTAATATGAAGGTGGGACCCATGGAGACTACAGGTCCCAGCATACAATACTCCATCTTGATCATGGAGGCCTTCTATTCAATTCAGATATTAGGGATGTGCCCCTACCAAAGCCCCAGTTCCTACCACTCCCAAACTCAGAGGATCTCTGGATCTGGATATGCAGCTGACCCCAAGTTCTATAATGCGACCAGTCAAAACTCCAGATCCAATAACAATCCTGAACTTTGAGAAAGTTTGGCTGCAGATTCAGATCTGGCCACTGTAGCGCGTTCCCTTTTCTACTCAATATGGAGCACTGTACACTGGGACCTGTAGTATCTGCAGGCCACGTCCATACTGAATCTGTCCCACTATATGCAAATGAGTTGCCAATGCATCTCTTAATTGGTCAAAGTTTGGGCTCCCTTGCTGCAACATAGGCCAGTCTCCAAATTACTACCTTCCCGAGGTGTTTCTTTGAGAAATGGTGTCAGAGAAATTGCATCTCTCCACACACGAGAAAGCAGTAAAAATATCTTGTGCATTAATAACTGTTCATTAAATAAAGAATTTTGTCTATAGTTAAGAAATCCACAGAGGAGTTTTTTCTAAGAAAACAAGAAAAAAGCGGATGTTCTATAAGAAGTTTATTATGTTCTAGGTCAATCCTCAAGTGAGGGAGGAAAGGTTGGAAATGAGTAATGCATGAAACTTAAATTCATGCTGTAATGTAAAGAAATGCTTCTGCCCAAAGAGAAAATTGAGAAGGAGCTAAATGAATCAATATGTTATGCATTGTGTATGGTGATTTTATGTGATGTTTATTCATAAAAAGTAAATACCTCACTTTTTTCAACCATAGCCACTTCTTCCCGCCCCCACCCCTGAGCCTGTTACATAGTTGAACGTATATAAACCAAAGGACCAAGTTAATCCCTATTGCAACTAAATTGAAGCTACTGGTATTACACCAGATATGACTTTGACCCAAAACAGTGGGACTGCCCCACTCGGAAGAACTAAGTCAATATGTTTATAACTCAGAAAAGTAACTGTATTGTCAAGGTACAACAAGTCGCAAAAGCTACACCTGCTAAGGCCTAGTACGCTAACAACTGAATGGGGTATATTTGACTGTGTTTTATACTCCGTTGTGCAATAATGAGTGTGGACACACTCATAGTGTGAGAGGCAGAAAGAAGACTTGGGATGCAAGCCATTCAGGGAAACTCTTGAACAAAATCTTGAGCAAGCCAGGGTATTGAGATGTTTGTTTAGGATAAGCCTTCTTAAGGTCCCTGAAAGGGGAATTGCGTGCACTGGACAGGAGTTTCCTTCTTTCCACTTGCCACACTTAGTGTAGAGTAAGGTGTTTTGTCTAATCCCTGTCTTGGTGTGAACATGTGTATGAAGTTGTGGTGGGCTCAGCCACAGCACCCAGGTCCAGAACCAGATTTCAAACACTCCAAAGTTAAAGGAGGTCTGGATTAGAGATTTGATCTGGCCTATTTTAAGGATACAGGCAATGGCCTATATGAAATTCAGGTCTGGATCCAGGGCTGGATTTCTAATGGCCTCTCCCTAATTTGGGGGATATTCAGATTCAGCATTTTGATTTGCCCATTATAAAGAAAGAGGTCATCTCTGAAATTATATCCAGATCTGAATATACATTGTGAGTACCACCTCAAACCTTATCAAGTTCAGGGTAATCAGTACCAGGGTTTTGGTTCAGTCCAACCTCTAGCATGAAATAAAGAAGTTAAATGGAATTGCTCCCTTCATATGGAATTAACAATTCTGCAGATTTAAAACAGCCACACAGAAAAGGGAGTTGTGCAGACCTCTAAATTCTGCTTTTGTAACCTATAAAACTATCTGCTTCACTCAGTCCAGCAACTTGAATGCTCATAAGGTGTGAAGAATTTCTCACCAAGAATACACTATGCAATGTACTGCTCTGTGCAGAGTTAGGTGACACAGTGATAAAATGTTTGCACCTTTTCTATTCTGCAAATTCCAACGGTGCTGCCACTGATGGAGTTCCACCCAAATGGGGATTATCCTAGTGTATACCTTTGAGCAAGTCACTAATGAGAGGTGAGAGGGAGAGTACATGCCATTTGCATGGCTGAATAGCTTGGGAGGCCCACTCAACTTATGCTGAGGCTGTTTTGCTGCACACAGAGTCTTGTGTGCAGTGTTTGCCTGATTTTCAAATGTTTTCATTATTTGATTAGCCAATTAAAAATACACAGACATGGAATAAGAACCACATTTCCTAGCTACTCTCAATATCCCTATAAAGATTTTTCAGCTATTAATGTAACATATTAATTGAACATCATTCCATTTGTTGGACCTGAAAGAGCCCTTTAAGTTAACACAGGTGTGTTCAGCACCCTAAAATATTCAGTGAGCTAAAAATTTCATGATGGTTAAATGATTTTATTCATGAAATCTGGGAATGTGAAGTATAAACACAGCTCCTGAGAGTTTGCAGCCAAAAAGGGATTCTGTGGGTAATGTGTATTTCTACATACGTATTTTTCCCGTTAACATAGAACAGAGTGTTTCTGAATTCCATGGTCTCTGAATGTGGGCTCTCAATGAGTTTTTCATTCAATTTTAATACTTGCTTGTTAACATATTTTAGAGCAAGAGAGAATGTTTCTTCTCTCTAAGACAATACAAATGGCCTAACTTCCAAAGCAGCCTCTGAAAGTATGGGTGCAATTTTCTAAGCGTAAATATTTTTGTAGGTGCAAATCAGGTAGTTATACACAAAAATGCACTGTCAACTCAAAACTATCTGCATATGAAAAAATAAGCCACAAAAATGTAGGCATACAAAAATTATATCTGCAATATCAAAGGCCATCTGAAGGCCACTTTGAAAATTCAGGTCAATGAATCCATTATACTGTGGGAAAACTGGAATATAAGTAATGTTCCTAATGAAGTCCCAAACCTATAACAGCTCTCTTTAACAAGTTGAAAGGTCATATCACCTATCTAAACCTATTCTCTAATCATACTTCGTACTTATTGGTTTTTATATTGCAACGAGAGTGGACTAAACCAAATCACTAGATCAGAGCAACTCTGAACCGTTAATGTCATTCAGATCCAGATCTGGATCCAAACTTTGTGCCTATGCCCATTGCTATAATAGGCTGAACCAAAATCCAGATCTGAAAGCCCACTGAATTATGGACAGCTCAGCTTCTAGTTTTGCTGCTCAGTCTCATCTCGGTAGGATTCTACAGTTTTAGGATTCTCAGAGAGGTCACAGTCAAACTTGTGAAATTTTATAGCAACCTTCTCTCTTCTTTACTTCAAGCACACGTGTGCACTCCACTAACCTATAGTAGGGCCAAGCAAACCAGGTTTTGTTTTAGAATCAGCCACTCAATAAGCAGCTCAACTGAGCAAATTGGGCAACAGCCACTGCTGTAATTAATTTATACCATACTTTTAATTATATTGAGCTCTGACTCCTTCTGGTTGAGCATTGATCCATAAGATCCATTAACCAAGAAGAAATCAATACATATCCCCTAACATTTTTTCTCTTGAAGAGCATAATTTAAAACTTACCTCAATAAAGTCTGAGAAAAGTATTTCAGAGTGTTTGCAATGTCAGTTCCAGAGGGCACAGGGTAAATGTTGTGAAGAACGCGGTTATGGTATTCCTGTAGGTAGCGGATCTTGGAAGCAACTGGATAAAAAAACAAAAACAGAGAGACTTTCATTTAGCTTAGTTCAGGTTAAGACACCATATCAGTTTTCTACCCCTACTGTAGTGTTAAAATCCATGCAGTGAGCTAAACCTAAGAGACAAGTCTTTCCAATCTTTATAGTGGCTGAATAAATTGAATACTTTGATGAAGGAGGGAAGAAAAAGGAAAAATTGTATATAATATTTTTAAATCTGTTTTAGTCCTACTCTGTGCTAACAGATCAAACAAACACTTAGTGCCTGTCTCGTTTTTTCCATTCATGGATCTCAAGCCTCATTTATAATGTTATGAGCTGGGTGAAACCTTGTCATGGATTGAGTTCAAACCTCTTTGAGATTGGTAGATGTGACCTATAACTATATGCATAAACCCCACCTAAGACAAAAGGGTGTGTGTGAACCCGGGGAGCTCCTGTCTGAGTATTGTTTTGGGTAGGTGTGTGAGTACAAGGGAAGAGAGACCACACAGAAACTAAGGTCAGCCAAGAATAGAGTGAGAGATCACCTGCAGCAGCAGCTGAAGGCATGTGGCTAACCATGGAAGAAATCTAGGGAAAGGTTTTTGGGTCACAAGCTCAGGCTGAAAAGAGTGCTCTTGGTGCTGTGAGCAAAAGAAGCTGTTTGTTTCCTTCTGCGCTCAGAGACACAGGACTTTGTACATTCTTTGAAAACAAAATAAAGTGTATCCAAGAAATACTGCCCTATAGATATATAAAACAATTTAGGAACAAGGTAAGACCATCCATCATAACATGCCAGACTACAGCTAAATGTAGGTATCTCTTGAACACATTTGCTGTATATATTTTGCTTTGATCAACTCCCCCAATTAACTATCCTATGTATTTATTAAATACAAAAACTATGGTAAAAATATTCAGGTTGCAAAGTCAAGCACTCAAAAGTTAGGAAATGCCAGAATTAAGCTTGCCTATGCAACCTGAATTCAGCTCTGTTGGATGTATGCATTATGATACAGATTTTAATTACATGATCATATTTTTTTCCCCCCAGGACCTCTGCACAAAATTGTGTATGCCTAAAGGGGAGCTTAGGTGGAGGCTGTATCTCTAATTTTATTGATAATTTTAATAATTTAAAAAAAAAGTCCACTCAAAGTCTCCTTTTTTCCAGTGTGCAATTATTCATGTTTGTATTTTTGCACTAGCAAGGTTTTGCATAAACAAGCTACATTTGTGCATCCAACTGGGTATTGATGGCCTTGTGGGTCATACTAGTCATATTTTGTCCTCAACTATCCATTTAGTGGACTCAATACAATAATATACAGATGGGTAGAACCAATAAAATAGAAGGCTAAAGAATCCAGTAGCAAAAATCACGTTCTGAGTTCTGAATGACTACAGAATAAACATGTTAAATCTTATTCAGTGATTATGCAAGGCAAGGAAGGCTTTCTTTCCCTCCACCACAATATCTATGACATTCTGGTTAGCAGGACTGGTGCATTTGGGTTCTCCACTTGTGAGCAAAACAGGTATCTCAGATTTAAATGGAAAAAGCTTTTCTAGTACACCATGTATTCTCCCTGAGTATAATGTATATTATTACTGTTTACTGATACAGCCTTATAGATGTAAATGGCCCTTTACAAATATGTAAGAATATGGATCCCTGTTCCTAAAATCTCATTAGACAACTAGACTATAGAACATCCTTTGTGTAGGTGCTCAGATTCCACAGTAATGAGAGTCATACAGTATAAATACATGGCTTAGATTAGGAAAGAGCCTTTTCTATTTACTAAACGTTGTTTGTGATGCCAGTCTCCCTGGTGTAAAGGATATGAAGCCTAGTAGATTTGTAAAATAATCAGGTCACAAATCAGATTTCCCAACCAAAGAACAACTCACAGCTGGATTTATAGTTCATTGCAGGTGCCATGCTACGCAGTCAGATGTCCATAACTGAAATAGGAAAACCGATGCCAGAGATATTAGTCAAGCTATATTTTAAAGAGCCTCCTTCATCTCTACAGCCACTTGTTTTCAAGAGAGGGGAAAAGCATGTCAGGAGTGCTGTTTTGTGCAAAGTAGGAAACCTGTTTATTTCTATTAAGCGGGTTAGTGCCCCAAATGAAATCAATCAACATAAAAGAACATTCATAAACACAATAGCTAGATAATAATTTTGTTTCTAAAATGAGTCACTTCACGTTGCTTTTGGTATCAGACTACACCTCCCATAGAAATGTAATTGTTATGTCCCAGGTTAATGAGAGCTTTTTTGAATGAAAGCATTAAATCATATTGCAAATCTTTTTTACCTAAAGATAGGCTCCTAAATCCAGTGCAGGCATTGGATTATAAGTAACTGATTTTCAAAAGTCTTGAGCATCCATAAATCCTATTATCTTCAATAGGAAGTGCAGGTGTTCAGCACTTTAGAAAATCAGGCCACTTGTACTGCTATGTCTAAATATGGATTTAGGAGCCTTGCTTTAGCTATCCATGTTTTAAAATGTTGACGTAAATATCTGCTAGCTTCAATGTCTATCTCCACGCTGCATGTGCATCTAAACTCCCAAATTCCTCTTTGACACAAGTGTAAAAGCTGGGTTGGATTCTTTGGAGATGGTTTCCTTGTTTGTTTCAAAGTCCTGGACAGGAAAATGGAGGGTAGTTGGCATTCCCAGAACATTACTTACCATGAGCAGATGCCAGTTTTTATTACTGGAGGAAAAGGGAATTAATGGGTGGTGTGGTGAGTCGGTGTGGCTCCCCTCCTGCCCAGCAGAGGGAGCACCCTTGCAGGCACCCGAGTGGGCGGAGTCACCGCCGCCTGTTCCCACCCCCCGGAAGTCAAGGGGCGGGACAGGAAGTATAAAGGCCTGCTACTGGAGCTCAGTCAGGACCCAGCCGCCGCATGGAGCGGATGTGCCGCCGGGAGACCCGAGACCGTTGCCCTAACTGACCGGGAGCTCCCCCGAGCCCACTACAAGTAGGAGCCGCCGGAGCCCCCCACACCCTGTATTGGGAGGAGCCGTCGGACCTGCCCCGCGCCAACTACGAAGGCGAGGAGCCTCCAGAGCCCCTCCGCCCCTGTTGTTACCCAGAGGAGCCGCCGGAGCCCCAGTGGCCGGACTTCCCCGAGGAGCTGCCGGACCTGCCCCCAAGCCCCGGGCGAGAGGAACCGATGCTGGTGGACTGGCCCGGACCCGGCAGCACCAACAAGGTAGGCCGTGAGGGGAAACCAGGAAGTAGCCTGGGGGTAGCTGACCCCAGTCAGGCTGCAGACGCATGTGAGCCGACGTCAGTGTGTTGCCGGCAGGATACCCCACTGACCAGCAGTGGTGATAGCCGCTGCTAGGGCCCCGGGCTGGGACGCAGTGGAGTGGGTGGGCCTGCGTCCACCCCTGCCATCCCGCTCTCAGGTGGCAGGCTTCCCCCTCACCCAATGCTCAGGTATAGGGCCCTGGGCCTACCCTAGCTGTTTGTTTGCTCAGCCCCTGCACCAGAGGGCCTGAGCCCTGAACTAACTGCTTGTTTGCTCAGCCCCTGCCTGAGGGCCTGAGCCCTTAAACTGTTGTACTGTTACTCAGCCCCTGCACCAAAGGGCCTGAGCTCCTTAAATTGTTGTACTGTTGCACGGAAGGGCCTGAGCCCCTTTAACTGTTTGCTTGCTCAGCCCCTGCCTGAGGGCCTGAGCTGTGACTGTTTGTGCCCCGCCCTGATCCAGGGCCTGGGCCTCCGAATTACTCGTTGCATTGTCGCTCAGCCCCTGGACCCAAGGGCTTGAGCCCCTGAACTAACTGGTTGTTGTTCCATCAGTGGTGAGTTGGTGTGGCTCCCCTCCTGCCCAGGAGGGTTGAACCCCAGCATGAACCTCTTACAGGTGGTCTCCAGGTTGTTTGCTGTCAGTGGGTGCTATTCTGTGCAATAGCTCAGCTCCATTGGAGTGCTGTGATGTTAGGCCTAATCATTGACTTTACTTTTCAGAATGTGCTCAGAAGGAGACCCATGTAGCGGATAAAGAAGAGTAGCATGGCAGGTGACCTCCTGTGACCCTCTGTTGGCTGTCACCATTATACCTTTTGTTAGGATGCCCTGGTATTGCTCAGAGCCGTAGGAGACAAACTGTTACTTGGTCATGTATTCCTGCGGAGTTCCACACCACCAATGATTAGAATTGAATTTTTACTCTTCTGATCTGGTCAGTGTATTCTTTCACTTTAGTTTTTTCTGTTGTTTCATGGCAAATTCTGGACTCATCATTGCTTGTAACGCCTACCTGAGACAATCTGCTTCTTGCCTGTCAGTCAAGCAGGACAGTAGCAGTGGCAGCATCAGTTGAGGCTTGAGGGATAGCCTGGTAGTGGTGCATAAGCCAGTGTAATTCTTGTTGGAAATCATCACCATTTGTCAAAAAGTGCAGGTGAAAGAGAATTGGTATTACGCAAAGAGCAAATAAACACACTTTACAATGCGATAAAGAACTAGGCAAGGGAGGAGCCTTGATAAACATATTATAAAACAGAAGTTCAGTGGGTTAGGAATTTCTGGATCCCCAACCTGAAACATCATGAGGAGGAGAAAGCCAGCTTCAGGACCGGAACAGAGGAGAAATCCATGAGCTGGGTCCACAAGTGAATCCCATTTAAAACCAATGTACACACCAAAACTGTAAAAAAAGGGGGTGAGTCCTTAAAAACTAAAAGGAACAGGGAGAAGGCAATGCCCGTGTGAGGGCTCCAGAGCAGCACAAGGGGGAGAAACAGTAAATAGCTGCCAGCAAAGTGAGTGAAAGAAGCTCAAAGTAGAACAGGCCAAGAATATTAGGGATGAGGGAACATGAAGGCTCATTACAGAAAGGGAAAACATCAAAAATGGTGCTGATGGACAGGATGGCTGAAGCAGAAGGAACTGTTCCATATATCAATGTGAAATAATCAGAGGTAAGATACAGAGTAGCACGAGAAGGGGGAGCAGGTTCAGAAAATGTGAGAGACAGAGAAAAAAGTAGCACAATGGGTGAGAGCAGAACATTGCATCGTACACAGAGGGAGTACAGAATTTTCTTTCATTTTTAAGACTATAAGAATGGCCATATTGGGTCAGACCAAAAGTCCATCTAGCCCAGCATCCTGCCTTCTGACAGTGGCCAATGCCAGGTGCCCCAGAGGGAATGAATAGAACAGGTAATCATCAAGTGATCCATCCCGTCGCCCATTCCCAACTTCTGGCAAACAGAGGCTAGGGACACCATCCCTTGATTTATAAAAATGCACCCTCCATAAAGCATGCATCTAGGCCATCAGCACAACACTTAAAAGACAAAAATATCAGCTACTATAACTTAGAGATTAACCCCAAAAGTTTTAAAAAAAAGATGTCCCTTTGTCCTAATCAGGCAAAAGCCTGTAAAAACACAAAGGCTCTGCACTATAACCTGAAGATCGATAGACATGGACCAAAGAGAGAAGTGAATTTCATCATCCAGAATGTCGGATGAAATGATTCCAGCTGAGCCAAAAGTACTCTAAGCCCTTGATCACAGAGCAATCCCAACACATCATTAAGATAGTGCATCAGGAGAAAAGGTTATATGGATTCAGTGCTGGTCTACAGGGGCATTTTTCTTAAAATTTCCCCCTATTGCATTAGCAAATATGCCAGTTATTAACAATAGTGAGAGTGCTGATGTGGGCCAGCTGCTTGCATTCTAATCACCATCATCTGACTTTGCTGACAGAGTAGATCTAGAAAACATGGCAGTTAAAATGTCAGTGGCTACTAGCAGCCACTCTAGGGGTATAAGTAAATGGAGCTCTGCTGCTAACAAACACCAGGAATGGGGAATAGTTTGAAACAATAGAGTAGATAAGGCAAGAGAATGATGACTTCTGTATATTCACAGAAGATGTATGGCGTGAGCCAGAGCAGCAGGCCAGCTTCCCTACTCCATCAATGAGCTTCTTCATGGGTAGAACACTTCTAAGACTATGAGGGGCAGATCACGTTCTATGTTAGTTCAATCTGTGGGCTCCCTGCTGAGACTCTTGGATCAATTAGTTGGGTGACTTTTTGACACAGACACTAGGACCTAAGCTAAACTCTCACTTCAATTCATACAAACCAATGAAGCTGTCAGCTCACTTTGGGTCACTACTGATCAGGGCTAGTGACCAAGAAGTGTTAGGCTCTGTATTTAATCACTAAATCCACAAGCCAAACCGAGCCAATCAATCACTTCCTCCCCTTCCCGCCCCAACACATAATTGTGTTGCTTTCCTATTAACAGAGCATGTAAATATTATCTCATTGGAAACATGCAAAGCAATAGGTGAAACGTTTAAGGGCTATTAAAAGCAACAAAAACAGTTTGTATCAGTACAGGTATTGAAAAATCACCAAGTGCAAGACTTCACAGGGAAGAGAACAGGCACTGAAAATGATGTACAACAGCATTGAACAAAGGCTGGGAAGCTTTAACCCACAGCTGCCATTTACAGCAAGGGAGACTGATCAAACACCTAAAACCAGGCCTTAACCAGAACCAGGTCCCAGGGCCTGGCTTCCCTTCTATCCTCCTTCCTCCTGTCTTGGAGGAAGGCAGAAAAGCCTCCGGTTTTTAAGTCCGATATCATGCAGAGCACAAACTGGGCACCCTTGACAGGGTTTCTCAGCAGCTGTGTGAAATAAATCGCACCGCAGAGACGGCCAGACACCCCAACACAGCTCAGAGCACAGTGACAGGCAGTTGACAAATTGCAAGGCGCAGTGTAATAGATCCCCCTGACACGCCCTCCTCCACCTGCCATCCGCCCCGGTTCACGTGACCAGAAGTCCCGGGGCTCCGGACACCGGCAGTGGCGGGGGAGAGCGGCTCGGGGCCGCGCGAGGGGGCCATATAAAGTTCATCGGCTCGAGAGGGACCCCGGCCGGCTCCTTGCCCCTCTAGAGGGGTAGCGTCCCCGCGCCAGCATATCCCGCCGGTGTACCGGCCGCCGCAGCTCAGGTAAGGAGCCAAGTCCCCCCTGCTCCCTCGTCCTGGCTCCTCGTCTGAGCCCCCCCGTCTCCCTCCTGGGGGAGCAGCCCCCTTGCCAGCCCGGTGCGGAGCTCGCACTCACCAGCTCCAGGAACTGGAAGCCGCACCACCCCCCTTCCTCCCTCCAGGCTTACGCCGCCATTACAGCTGCAAGCCTGGGAGGGAGGAGGAATGCCGCTCAGCTGAGGAGCCAGGACGAGGAGGAGCCAGGCCCAGGCTCCTTACCTGGCCTGCGGCGGCCGGCGGAACATGCTGGCGGGGACGCTAGCCCGCTCGCGCGGCCCCGAGCCGCTCTCCCACGCCGCTGCCGAGGTCCGGAGCCCCGCGCCTCTCCCGCTCGGCTGCGCTCCAGCGGCTCCTTCCCGGCGGGGCGGCGGGACAGGACGCGCCGCATGTGCCCGGGGCCGCGGGGAGGGTAGCAGCCGCTGCGCGGCCGGTGCCTGCTAATTCCCCCGGCCCCTCCGAAAGGGCTTTTTTTTTTTTTTTTGCTCCACCCCCCGCGTCCCAATATTTCAGTTCTATGATGTGGTCACCCTAGTCCCTGTGACCAGCTCCCAGGACCATGGACAGTGCAGCGCCCCTCCTCCGCCGCACCCGGACACACACAGCAAACCTCCCCCGCCCTGGCTGCTCCCTTGTTTCCCAGCGAAGGGGCCGCTACTTACACTGCTCCGCTTTGGTGGACATGATGTTGTCCGGGTGGAAATGTTTCGCCCCAATGTCGGTGGCCTTGGGGTTCTTCTCTCCCCCTCAGCCCGCGATGAGCGATGGTCCCTCCCTGCTGCCCAGGCGCGAGTGGCTGGCCGAGCTGCGTCCCTCCCACCCCTCTGCCGCTACCATTCTTGCGACGGCAAATCTAGCCCCGAGCAACCCTCCGGAGGCCTGGCCTGCAGCTGGGAGCCAAACGCGCCCCGACAGCTGCTGCCGCCGACGTGAGGGGCGGAGGGAGAACGGAGAAGGAGGCGTGAATGGGGGGCCCTGGTGAATTGCACAGTGAGCTCTACCAGCCAGGAGGAGCGATTCCATTCACAGAGAACAGCCTCTTAAAGGGGAAGCGCTGCTCAGCCCCTAAACTGGGGCTCGGAGAAGACTGGGAAATTAAAGCGCCCCATACTCTTTAGAGCTGAGGTTTTGCAACAGACGCCCCCCCCCATGCCCCCTGGCTTGCAGCGGCTGTTTCTCTCTCTCTCACACACACACACACACACACCGAGTTTTGTTCTAGACCTGACTACAGAGCCTTCCTGATACCCCCTATCTCCTGAGTGCTGATAATGTACAAATGCAGGGCCCCTGGACATAGGTGACATGTGAACGCCCCATCCTTCGGGGCTTCTCCCCTTCCACCCAAGCCCGCCCCCCCTCCCCCCGCAGCCACAGGAGCCCCAATCGAACAGCCCCGGGCCCTTCATTCTTTAGTGCATTGGTTTTATCATTTCTGTAGGGCTCTGGCTCCCCTCCCCCAAGCAGTGGAGGCCTCTGCTTCCTTGCAGCCCCATCCTCATCCCACTATGGATAATTTCCCACACTTCAGCTCCCAGCCAGACCCCCAGCTTTCCATTCTACTTCTCAGTTCCTCACTCCAACCTCTCTGCGCCCTCAAATCTCCCTCAGTTCAGGACAAGGGAGAGATGGGCAGGCTAGTCAAGGTGTGTGAGTATCATCTCCCTTCCATTCGTTTTTTTGGGGAGAGAGCAGAGGTGAAAGTACGGTCTGTTACAGTGTACCCGCAAGAGCCAGTACACTGTGCCGGATCGCACCGGCTTCCACAGCAGGGATTTAAAGGGCTTGGGGCTCCCTGCAGCCGCGGGAGCTCCCGTCCCTTTAAATCCCACCCACAGCTCCAGCGGCTGGGCTGGGGCCGGGTTTTAAAGGGCTCAAAACCCCCCCCACCACCACTGCGGGGAGACCAGAGCCCTTTAAATCCCTCTGGAAGCTGGGCTGGGGCCGGGATTTAAAGGGCTCAGGGCTCCCCGACTGCCGGAGCTGCGGTGGGAATTTAAAGGGCCCAGAGCTCTGTGGCGGCCGGAGCCCTGGGTCCTTTAATTTTCCCCTTAGCCCTGGGGGCTCCCAGCCATCTCTGCAGCTGGGAGCCTGGGGTTGATTTAAAGGCCCTGGGGCTCCCAGCCACCTGGTGCCCCAGGGCCTTTAAATGTTGAGATGCCCTGCCTTTCCGGATGAGGCCCCGCCCCCCACAGGACTCCGGCACTACCGGTAAATCCTGTAAATTACTTCCACCCTGGGGGAGAGGCTAATTCAGTGGGTGAATCAGTGTTCCACACCCCCAGTGGTTACTAGTTCCAGGCAGGGCCGGATTAACCAATAGGCAAATAAGGCTATAGCCTTAGGCCCTCCTATTTTTAGGCGCTACTGTAGGCTCTCCATTCCATAATGAAGTAACAGCTGAGCCACGGTAGCGGGGCATTCGGAATTTTTTTGTCTCATTAGATATTGCTTTGTACAAATTAATCCATCAAGATCGTGAATTCAATTTATGGTGGTTGTGATTTTGTCTTTGTGGGCTAAGTAAGTGTGAGCGCAAGCAGTATTGAACTTTGTACACAGTAGGCCTACACTGGACAATAGAAACCATGTCAAAGAAAGGAGGATGGCAGAAACTGAAGGAGGCCAAAGAAAGATGGCAAAGACAAGATGTAGTGCTTCTGTCCTAACTTTTTTCCTCCTACTAAGCAGGGCCGGCTCTAGCTTTTTTGCTGCCCCAAGCAGCAAAAAAAAGCGCCGCCCACCAACCCTCCCGCCGCACGCCGGAGCCCGCTCCCCCACCCTGCGCCGAGCGCCGCC